CTGAAGCGGTGCACAAAAGAAGCTGCTAGCGCGAGGAAAAACAGAAAGTGGAGAGAGTGGAGAGCGAAGCAGAGTGGGAGGAGGTTTCCTGACAGGATGAGGCAGGGTGCCACGTCAGACCTGCGCATTCCCAATTCCGCTTGAAGAAGCTTCTTCAGGGGCGATTGAGGAAATCGAGGGGTTGGTACACGTCAGCGCGCGGCTTGACATTCCCAAGGTATGGATTCCAATTCAGCGGGAGGCGCAAGGGCACCTCATCGCGCTGTTGGCCGTGGTCCACTTGTAAGCCGACATTTGGAAACTGGAATCCCTCGTAGTGTTGAATAATGAAGCAAAGATTTCACGCGAAAAAATACAGGTAGTGTTGAATAATGATGTACACATTTCACGTGAAAAAATACAATATCAAATTTTGCCTGAAGAGATAGTTGTCGACAACCCTACTTCAATGCTTCCTATTCAACTCAAAGCTACCTAACTAGTAAATGACTTCCTACATACCTACTACTACAGAAGAAATAATATGTTGTGTCTTGCAGCATCTAACCAGATGCAGGAGGCAAGGTGCCAGCCATGCATGAGGAAAGAGCAGCGGCGCGATCACTAGGAAGCGCCGCCAGGAGCGGCTGCATTTGATCTGCAAATGCCTGCGCGAGATGCGAGCAGGCTTGGCCCACGGAGAGACGCACTTCCGGTGCAATCTTACCGTTAACCGCCACCTCTGCGAATACAGGCACCAGCTGCGGCACCACTGGCAAGATCTGCACAAAAAAGGGACAGTGCGTAAAGCACAAGCACATGAGAATGGCAGCAGAATTGATAACCATGAAGTACGTGATGCACGATTGATGTGATGTCACGTTGAATGATCACCCACATTGTGGTGGAGGTTGGTGCATGTACCTGGGGATGTGAGGCGGCAACAAGAGCCACGAGGCAGCCGTACACTGGCTTGGCCTCCTCCAGGTCTGACTTGAGAGGCAGCGCCGCCACCAGCACTGGCAGCACCTGGTGGGCAGGAGAACAGCGAGGTGGAGAGGAAGAACGATTAGGGAGGGACGGACGTTGGTGCGACATGGGTTTACGGCATGGCAGTGAACAGAACTCTCCACTTGCAATTGAACAAACACCAGACCTGGTCAAGCGGCATGGCAGTGCTCTGACCTGGTCGAGAGGCATGGAAGCGCCACCAGAAGCGATCATGCGGGCAACAGCGCCGGCAGCGTTGTCCCTCACGTCGTCATCCTCGTCCGCTGAGAAGAGCGGGTGCAATCCCAACAGGATATCAGAGTAGTGCCTGGGGGTGGGGAAGGAGGAGGTGTTGGGGGGGTTGGGGAATGACAGTGAGGTGAGTGGCAGCAGCAGGTCGACGGGAGTGCCTGCCAGGAGCCGTGCTGTGGGATTGGGGGGGAGGGGGAGGGGAAGGATGCATGGCGACAGCGGGCATGGCAGTGAGAGGAAACGGCAGTGAGGTGAAGAAGGGGAGCAGCAGAAGGCATGCAGTGGCAACAGTTTCGCCCCTCCGTGCCTCCCCACCTGTGCATGGCAGCGCGCACCTGTGCATGGCAGCGCCCGAAACTTCAGCCAGCTTGCCGACGGCAAAGGCAGCGTTGCGGCGGTTGGGGGGATCTCCGCCCCTCAGCTCTGATGCCAGCACGGGCAGTAGGGTCTGTGGCGAGGGAAAGTGGGAGGGAGGCTTGTGAGAGTGGTGGAGGATGGTTTATGAGGATGTAGTTCGGTTGAGAGCGCATTGAAGAAGCAGAATGAAGGGAATGGAAGGCATGTTGGATAAGGGATGGCACAACATGACTGCAGGAGTGCAACACACCCCTTGCCATACCACCCTCCATGCCACACTACACCCCAACGCATACCTATACCCCATCCCCAGGCACTCACATCCACGTATTGCGCCATGGCTTCCCCCAGCTCCCCTGCCACGTCAGCAATGCACCCCACCGCCATGCTGCGATCGTTGGGCGGGCGGGAGGCTTTCTGCTCCAATCAATGGTGGGTGGAGGGGGAGAGGGGAAGATGGAGAGGCAGGGGGAGAAGAGGTGAAGAGGAGAAGAGTATAAGAGGGGAAGGGTACACGAGAGGGGAAGAGTACACGAGAGGGGAAGAGTACACGAGAGGTGGGGAAAGTGTGAGAGACGAAGCAAGGCTGAGTGACAAAGAGACTGAAGAGTGCGAGAGGTGACAGGGGGAATGCGGAAGGAGAGAGCAAGGCAGGGGAGTGCAGAGCATGTGTGTGAAGATGGCAGGGTGAAGGAAGTGCGAAGGGGAGGGCGAAGGCACACCATAGCCGGCCCATGCGTGCCACAGCGAGCAAGACCATGAGCCCACGAGGGAGAAAAACTGCAAGGGAGCAAGTGAAGGAGGGAGAGAGGGCGCAAGGGAGGTATAGGAGGGCACCGTGAAGGCGAGGATGTCGGGCAGCAGGGAGTGGAAGACAGGGGCGAAGGCAGCGGCGCCCACGGCACGCGCCACAGCGGGCAGCAGGTCAACAGCGGCGTCCATGAGCTCCTCGTCGTGCTCCTCCTCCTCTTCCTCCTCCTCCGCCGCCTCCGTCGGCCCCGCTGCCCCCTCGCCGCCCGTCTCGGCATCGCTGGCTGCTCGCTGGCACGGCAGCTCGTCCCTCAGCGCCGCTCGCACCGCCGCCACCAGAGGCTCCGCGTCTGACCAGCAGGGGGTGGGGGAAAGGTTTGGGTTCTTTGAAAAGCCGATCTAAGTCTATCCCGTATGGCAGCTCGTCCCACACCGCTGCCCGCACCGCTGCCACCAGACCAGAGGCTCGGCGTCTGACAGGGGTGTTGGGAGAGAGGGGGGTGTTGGGAGAGAGGGGGGTGTTGGCAGAGAGGGGGGTGTTGAGACGAAGGGTGGGTTGAGACAAAGGGGTCAGGGGACGACGGGTGGAAGGAGGAGGGTGGAGAGAAGGCGAGGGGATTCAGGGGCAGGGGGTGGCTGTGGAGGAGATTGCAAAGCAGGGTGGCAACACAGAGCACAGGCGGATGGCCATTTCCCTCTCAGTGACTCACAGGGCGCCATGGCGGGCTGGTTGGCGGAGTCAGCAGCCAGCAGCGCCTTGATGGTCTCCGTGGCGCCGCTGAAGGCCTGCCCCACCACTGCGCGCTCCTCGTCATCCCTCATCGCCCCCATCCACACCTCCATCGCCACGTCTGATGTGCGCGCACACACAGGGAACAGAGGGGCTCGTGAGGGGAGGTGCCGCCAGGGCAGCAATGAGATGAGCGGTTACAGTGAGAGGTTACAGTGAGAGGTTACAGTGAGAGGTTACAGTGAGAGGTTACAGGAGAGCAAGGGCAGAGCGGCAAGGGGTGGTGGTTGGTCGCCGGGGGCTCACCAAAGACATGCTTCGTTTCCGCACTCATGGGCTGGTGGCGCACAGCAGGTGCCGTGACGTGGTTGCCGCACAGCAGAGCAGAGCAGCGCCGCGTGCACAGGGAGTGTGCGGCATGCACGGTAATGTGATGGCGACGGGGTGTCATGCAGCACACGGGGGGAGGGGTTGGTCGCGCATGCACAGGAGGGGGGACGTGGGTGAGTGCAATTGAGCAATGGAGGGGACTGAAGGCAGATGCAGGCAAGGCAAATGGAGAACCACATAAGAGGTGGAGGGATTGTTGTGCAGAGAGAGGATGGCACAGCAGTATGAGAGAGAGCATTGCCCCGCAGCATTCAGTGCACCGGTCAGTCACCCCTGTGGGAGGGCATGAAGCGTACCTGGCCTGGGGCGGATGGGAAGGCGTGCAGCGCCGCCGTGACCAGGTCTGTTGGAGGCGGAGAGGGTGGGGGGGAGACGGGGGAGACGTTGCTGTGAGGGTTGTTGTGAGGGCGGAGAGATTTAGGTGGACGACAGAAGAGAGACAGATAGTGCGAAAGGTGGGTGACATGCTGCATGGTGGGCATGCTTGGCTGGATGCAGGTGCTGGGCAGTGGATGCATAGCGAAGGGCAGAGGGCGGAAGGAGGAGGGCGGAGAGAGGAGGGAGGGCAGGGAGCAGAAAGGGGGGGGGGGGGGGGGGGGAGGAGGTGGAGGGGGGAACTGACGTTGCAGGGAGAGCGTGGCCTGCAGGCGCACGTCCTCATGTGCATAGTCCGCCCCGTCCTTTAGCACCCCCACCGCCTCCTGTACGTACCTGCATGAGGGAAGGGCGAGAGGGGAGAGGGGAAGGGCGGGGTATGCGGATGAAGCATGACAGGTCAGTGGTGCGTGATTCACAATTTCACACCAACCATGCACTTATCTCAGCTTCCAGCAGAGGTCTATGGCATGCACGCACTGCAATCATGCAGCCCAGCAGCAGCACCACACCCCACCAGCACACTCACGGGCCAAAAGCAGCCTTGGTGTACTGAGCATACGCGCCGATGGCCTGAGCAGCAGCCGCCTTCTCATCCAGCACGGCCGTGCGCACACTGATGCCCCTCAGCCCCCTCAAAGCCGCCCCCTCGTCCTCATCCTCCGAATCCGACGAGATCTCCCCTGCTGCCAGTGCTGCCGCTAGCTGCCGCCGCCCGCCGCCCTCGGCGTCGGCGGCATCGTCGTCGGTGGCGGCCGGGCCGACCACGATGCCATCGTCGAGGCGGCAGGAGGAGAAGGCAAGCGGCACCACGTGTTGCAGGTACTGGCAGGGGTGAGGAGGGAGGAAAGGAGTTACAGTGTTAGTGGCACGAAGTTTGATTCCAAGTCGGTGGCTGCTGGGCCGACCACAATGCCATCGTCGAGGCGGCAGGAGAAAAAGGCGAGCGGTACCACGTGCTGCAGGTACTGGTAGCGGGGAGAGAAAGAGAGGGGGGAGAGGGGGAAGAGCAGGGTGGTGGAGTGTTAGTGACACGGAGATTGATTTGAAGTCAGCGAGCATGGGAGAAATGTATGGAGAGGGCAGTGGTGAAAGGAGAGCATGCAGGCGCACGGATGCAAGCGGCAAATCACGGGGGCTGGGTGGGCTGAGGGGGGGTGCACAAGACAATACTCACGGGGGCGAAGTCAGCTTCGAGGAACTTGGCGACGTCGCTGAAGAAGGAGTGGGCATACTCCCTCAGCGCACTCTGGTCCAGGGCGAAGCCCTGCCATGGGGGTGAGTGTATGTGGGGGGTGCGGCATGGAATGGCAAATAGCGCGTGGTGGGTGAGCAAGGGAACTTGGCGACGTCGCTGAAGGAGTGCGCTTACTCCCGCAACGCACTCTGGTCCAGGGCGAAGCCCTGCCATGGAGAAGGTTGAGCATGGGGTGTGGGGTGTGGGACGTGGGAGGTGGCGTGTGGTTGGTGAGCAAGGGAGTGAGGCGCTCTGAATCCCTCGTTCACATATCTTACTGACGTGAGCAACACAATAAACAATCCCTGCGACCCCCCGAGCCACCCAGCACAGCACCTTGAAGTGCAGCACTCAGGCCATGAAGCACAGCAGCACTCTTTCTATGGCCTGGCACCCGCAGCAATCCCAGTGATGCCCACCAGCTCGTACCCGCACTGCTTGTGGCTTACTGCCATTCACAGCACTGCCCCTCAACTGCTCCCCCACCCACCTTGAGAGCGGCGTCCATGAAGCCGGGCAGCACGGGCTCCACCGCTTGCCGCCCCACGGCGATCCCAATGATGCCCACCAGCTCGTACGCGCGTGACCGCACGTCCACGTCCGCCTCCGCTGTGAGGGACACGAGCGGGATGAGCGCCGCCAGCACCGCGTCACTGTATGGCGCGAACTTGGGACCTGCTGCTGCTGCCGCTGATCCTATGGCGGACTGGCAGGGGGGAGAATGCGGGGTGGGAGGAAAGAGGGACCTTTGAGTCGACTCAGAAGTCACCACATTAGGCTCCGTGGTGAGGGAGACCAGTGGGATGAACGCCGCTAGCACCGCGTCACCATAGGGGACGAACTTGGGACCTGCTGCTGCTGCCGCTGATCCTATGGCGGACTGTGGGGGGGGAGAAAGGGGGAAGACGGCAGGGTGATGAGGCGGTTGGGACATGAGAGGGTGGAGGAGATAGGGAGAATGCGTGATGTTTGAAGAGATGGCATGTGCAGCGAAGGAGTGTGTTGGATTTGTGCAACTATGAATGGACACAAAGAATCTGTACCACATTCCATGACATGACCTCCCATTACATCACGATGCACATCATCCAACTCACAATGCACATCATCCAACTCACGATGCACACGATGCACATCATCCAACTCACGATGCACATCATCCAACTCACGATGCACATCATCCAACTCACGGTTCACATCATACAACTCACGATGCACATCATACAACTCACGATGCACATCATACAACTCACGGTTCACATCATACAACTCACAATGCACATCATACAACTCACGATGCACATCATACAACTCACGGTTCACATCATACAACTCACGATGCACATCATACAACTCACGATGCACATCATCCAACTCACGATGCACATCATACAACTCACGATGCACATCATCCAACTCACGATGCACATCATCCAACTCACGATGCACATCATCCAACTCACGATGCACATCATCCAACTCACGGTTCACATCATACAACTCACGATGCACATCATACAACTCACGATGCACATCATACAACTCACGGTTCACATCATACAACTCACGATGCACATCATACAACTCACGATGCACATCATACAACTCACGGTTCACATCATACAACTCAAGATGCACATCATACAACTCACGATGCACATCATCCAACTCACGATGCACATCATCCAACTCACGATGCACATCATCCAACTCATGATGCACATCATCCAACTCACGATGCACATCATCCAACTCACGGTTCACATCATACAACTCACGATGCACATCATACAACTCACGATGCACATCATACAACTCACGGTTCACATCATACAACTCACGATGCACATCATACAACTCACGATGCACATCATACAGCTCACGGTTCACATCATACAACTCACGATGCACATCATACAACTCACGATGCACATCATACAACTCACGATGCACATCATACAACTCACGATGCACATCATACAACTCACGATGCACATCATACAACTCACGATGCACATCATACAACTCACGATGCACATCATACAGCTCACGACGCACATCACACAACTCACGGTTCACATCATACAACTCACGATGCACATCATACAACTCACGATGCACATCATACAACTCACGGTTCACATCATACAACTCACGATGCACATCATACAACTCACGATGCACATCATACAACTCACGATGCACATCATACAACTCACGGTTCACATCATACAACTCACGATGCACATCATACAACTCACGATGCACATCATCCAACTCACGGTTCACATCATACAACTCACGATGCACATCATACAACTCACGATGCACATCATACAACTCACGGTTCACATCATACAACTCACGATGCACATCATACAACTCACGATGCACATCATACAACTCACGATGCACATCACACAACTCACGATGCACATCATACAACTCACGGTTCACATCATCCAACTCACGGTTCACATCATACAACTCACGATGCACATCATCCAACTCACGATGCACATCATACAACTCACGATGCACATCATACAACTCACGATGCACATCATACAACTCACGGTTCACATCATACAACTCACGATGCACATCACACAACTCACGATGCACATCACACAACTCATGATGCACATCATACAACTCACGATGCACATCATCCAACTCACGGTTCACATCATACAACTCACGATGCACATCATACAACTCACGATGCACATCATACAACTCACGATGCACATCATACAACTCACGATGCACATCATACAACTCGCGATGCACATCATACAACTCACGATGCACATCATACAACTCACGATGCACATCATACAACTCACGGTTCACATCATACAACTCACGGTTCACATCATACAACTCACGATGCACATCATACAACTCACGATGCACATCATACAACTCACGATGCACATCATACAACTCACGATGCACATCACACAACTCACGATGCACATCATACAACTCACGATGCACATCATCCAACTCACGGTTCACATCATACAACTCACGATGCACATCATACAACTCACGATGCACATCATCCAACTCACGATGCACATCATACAACTCACGATGCACATCATACAACTCACGATGCACATCATACAACTCACGGTTCACATCATACAACTCACGATGCACATCACACAACTCACGATGCACATCACACAACTAGCGATGCACATCATACAACTCACGATGCACATCATCCAACTCACGGTTCACATCATACAACTCACGATGCACATCATACAACTCACGATGCACATCATACAACTCACGATGCACATCATACAACTCACGATGCACATCATACAACTCACGATGCACATCATACAACTCACGATGCACATCATACAACTCACGATGCACATCATACAACTCACGGTTCACATCATACAACTCACGGTTCACATCATACAACTCACGATGCACATCATACAACTCACGATGCACATCATACAACTCACGATGCACATCATACAACTCACGGTTCACATCATACAACTCACGATGCACATCATACAACTCACGATGCACATCATACAACTCACGATGCACATCATACAACTCACGATGCACATCATACAACTCGCGATGCACATCATACAACTCACGATGCACATCATACAACTCACGATGCACATCATACAACTCACGGTTCACATCATACAACTCACGGTTCACATCATACAACTCACGATGCACATCATACAACTCACGATGCACATCATACAACTCACGATGCACATCATACAACTCACGATGCACATCACACAACTCACGATGCACATCATATAACTCACGATGCACATCATCCAACTCACGGTTCACATCATACAACTCACGATGCACATCATACAACTCACGATGCACATCATCCAACTCACGATGCACATCATACAACTCACGATGCACATCATACAACTCACGATGCACATCATACAACTCACGGTTCACATCATACAACTCACGATGCACATCACACAACTCACGATGCACATCACACAACTAGCGATGCACATCATACAACTCACGATGCACATCATCCAACTCACGGTTCACATCATACAACTCACGATGCACATCATACAACTCACGATGCACATCATACAACTCACGATGCACATCATACAACTCACGATGCACATCATACAACTCACGATGCACATCATACAACTCACGATGCACATCATACAACTCACGATGCACATCATACAACTCACGGTTCACATCATACAACTCACGGTTCACATCATACAACTCACGATGCACATCATACAACTCACGATGCACATCATACAACTCACGATGCACATCATACAACTCACGATGCACATCACACAACTCACGATGCACATCATACAACTCACGATGCACATCATCCAACTCACGGTTCACATCATACAACTCACGATGCACATCATACAACTCACGATGCACATCATCCAACTCACGATGCACATCATACAACTCACGATGCACATCATACAACTCACGATGCACATCATACAACTCACGGTTCACATCATACAACTCACGATGCACATCACACAACTCACGATTCACATCACACAACTAACGATGCACATCATACAACTCACGATGCACATCATCCAACTCACGGTTCACATCATCCAACTCACGATGCACATCATACAACTCACGATGCACATCATACAACTCACGATGCACATCATACAACTCACGATGCACATCATACAACTCACGGTTCACATCATACAACTCACGATGCACATCATACAACTCACGATGCACATCATACAACTCACGATGCACATCATACAACTCACGATGCACATCATCCAACTCAGGATGCACATCATCCAACTCACGGTTCACATCATACAACTCACGATGCACATCATACAACTCACGATGCACATCATACAACTCACGATGCACATCATACAACTCACGATGCACATCATACAACTCACGATGGACATCATACAACTCACGATGCACATCATACAACTCACGATGCACATCATACAACTCACGATGCACATCATACAACTCACGATCCACATCATACAGCTCACGATGCACATCATACAACTCACGATGCACATCATCCAACTCAGGATGCACATCATCCAACTCACGGTTCACATCATACAACTCACGATGCACATCATACAACTCACGATGCACATCATACAACTCACGATGCACATCACACAACTCACGATGCACATCATACAACTCATGATGCACATCATCCAACTCACGGTTCACATCATACAACTCACGATGCACATCATACAACTCACGATGCACATCATCCAACTCACGGTTCGCATTATACAACTCACGATGCACATCATACAACTCACGATGCACATCATACAACTCACGGTTCACATCATACAACTCACGATGCACATCATACAACTCACGATGCACATCATACAACTCACGATGCACATCATACAACTCACGATGCACATCATACAACTCACGATGCACATCATACAACTCACGATGGACATCATACAACTCACGATGCACATCATACAACTTACGATGCACATCATACAACTCACGATGCACATCATACAACTCATGATGCACATCATACAACTCACGATGCACATCATACAACTCACGATGCACATCATCCAACTCAGGATGCACATCATCCAACTCACGGTTCACATCATACAACTCACGATGCACATCATACAACTCACGATGCACATCATACAACTCACGATGCACATCATACAACTCACGATGCACATCATACAACTCACGATGCACATCATACAACTCACGATGCACATCATACAACTCACGATGCACATCATACAACTCACGATGCACATCATACAACTCACGATGCACATCATACAACTCACGATGCACATCATACAACTCACGATGCACATCATACAACTCACGATGCACATCATCCAACTCACGATGCACATCATCCAACTCACGGTTCACATCATACAACTCACGATGCACATCATACAACTCACGATGCACATCATACAACTCACGGTTCACATCTTACAACTCACGATGCACATCATACAACTCACGATGCACATCATACAACTCACGGTTCACATCATACAACTCACGATGCACATCATACAACTCACGATGCACATCATACAACTCACGATGCACATCATCCAACTCACGATGCACATCATCCAACTCACGGTTCACATCATACAACTCACGATGCACATCATACAACTCACGATGCACATCATACAACTCACGATGCACATCATACAACTCACGATGCACATCATCCAACTCACGATGCACATCATCCAACTCACGGTTCACATCATACAACTCACGATGCACATCATACAACTCACGATGCACATCATAGAACTCACGATGCACATCTCCTGCAGGTTGCGGTCGGGCGAGCGCAGGGCGTCCATGAGTTGGCGCATGAGCGGGTCCAGGAACTCCAGGATCTCGTCCCCCATGTGCTCGCAGAACGCTGCTAACGCGTAGTACGCCTTCTCCTGAGGAGGGGGGAGGGGTGGAAGGGAGGGAGCGAGGGAGGGATGTGGCAACTTGCAGGGATCTGAGTGGGATAGGCGGAGAGAGATGGAGGGAGGGAAGAATTTAGGGAGGCAGGGACGGAAAGAGAGAGGGAGGGCCGAGAGCACTGAAGCTCGGGTGGTAAGGCCGACACTAAACTGCATACAGTGCCTCACATCCACACCAAGCATGCAGCCCAGCTCCCAAGAACAGAGTCGCTCTTGAGGTCTCTCAAAATCAGTACCCCTTTCTTTGCCACTGACCCTGACAACGGGCGAGGCGTCATTGAGGGCGGCGAAGACAGCGGGCAGGATGATCTTGTAGTGCTCCGACGCCTCGGGCTGCACAAACTCCGACAGCTGCCCCACCGCGAAGCACGCCGCCCCCCGCACCTTGGGATGCGCGTCTCCCAGCCCCGCCACCACCAATGGCAGCACGTCTGACTCCAGCCGCCCGCGCACTGCCTCACTGGGGGGAAGGAAGGGTGTGTGGAGGGGGGGGAGTATGGGGGAAGAGGGAAGTGGAGATTTGGGAGGGGTAAGGGGGCGCACAAGGACAAGCCAACACCCCTGCAGTGCACCCCTGCACTCACCAGCACCCCTCTGCACTCACCAGCGCCCCCCTGCACTCACCAGCACCTTTTGCACCCCTCTGCACTCACCAGCACCCTTTTGCACCCCTCTGCACTCACCAACACCCCTCTGCACTCACCAGCACCCATTTGCACCCCTCTGCATTCACCAACACCCCTCTGTTGCGCCACCCCTCTGCACTCACCAACACCCCTCTGCACCCCTCTGCACTCACCAGCACCCCTCGGTGATGACAGCCAGGGCCATGACAGCGGCGTAGCGCATGTGGGGGTTGGTGTCCGTGATGTGTGCGCGGGCGAACGCCAGCACAGGCGGGAACACATGCTTGCGCGGCGCCTCCATCGCCACCGCGTCTATGGCCTGTGGGGGCAGTAAACACAGGGCGGCGAGGGGACGGGAAGAGATTGAAGGGGGATGAGAAAGGGTGGGTGGCGGGTTGTGGAGTGGGAGTGGGAAGAAGTGCTGGTGTGCGAGGGGCCTTCACTGCCATCGCGTCTATGGCCTCTCAAGGTGAAGACGCACGGTGATGGGGGGTTTCGGGTGGCGTCGGGGAAAGGCAGTGAGAGCGGGATGAGGGGCGGTGAGAGGGGGGTTGGGGGGGAGTTGGGTTGCGGGTGTGGGAATGGAAAAGATTTCCATGTGTGGGGACTTAGGCAAGGAGGCGTGGAAAGGAGGTCACCTGGGCGGCAAAGCGCATGGGCGAGAGGTCGTACTCCTCGTCCTGCTCCGAGTCCGTCTCGCCACAGGGCTCGGCGAGCAGCGGCGCCATGGCGGCGAGGATGACGGGCACCAGCTTCTGCTTCGCCAACCACTTGGCCTTCCACGCCGCGCACCACGCCACCACCTGCGCTGCCTGCTCCACCCAAACCAACACAGCACGGGGAGTTGGACAATGCGTCAGTTTGCATTCACCATGATTGAATGTGGAATGCGTGTCTTGTATGTTGGTGTGTGTTGGTGTCGTACCTCGTTCACATTCCCTTCTACCACCATCTGCCACATCTGCCGCTGCGCAGCAGTGGCGCCTCACCTGGAAGCGCGTGGCGGGTTCGAGGTGCGTGTTGCTAGCGAGTTCGAGCGCGAACTGGATGACGGCGGGCAGCGAGGGCGCGATGACGGGCGCGGGGTGCTCCGCCAGCTCCGTCACCACCTCGCACACGCGCACCACCGTCGCCTCGTCGCCGCTCCCCGCCGAGAACCGCCCCACGTCCAGCATCGGCGCCACCAGATCGCGCATCAGAGTCTAGGCGGGGGGAAGGGAAGGGCGGGGCGAAGGGGGAGAGGGGGGCGAGGTGAGGAAGAGGAGGGGGGATTGGGGATCAGCGAATGCAAGGAGAAGGGCAGGAGCGGCCGAGTGCATGGGATGGCGAAGGGAGAGGGGCAGGATCAGCGCAATGCCATGCGCTACGTGCGCGCATTGTGCGCGTGCGCGGAACTCACCACGTCCTGCTCGCTGTCAAGGTACTCCACCAACGCCGCCACGGCCCTGCGCACGCACGCACACCCACGCACCCACCCACCACAGGAAAGATGCATATGTGTGAATTTGAGGCGAAGGGGCGGAGAGCAGTTGAGGAGTAGCGACAAGCGAGAGCGTGTTATGCGACGACCAGGCGGTGCGAGCAGCGGGGATGAAGCGCGGGGAGCAGCGGCGCAGGCGGTGCGGGCGGGTCAGCAGCGCGAGGGGTGCGAGCGGGGCACTCACTTGAGCGCGGCGACGCGCACTCGCGCGCTGGCCTGGTCGCGCAGGCCCGCGACGAAGATGCCGTGTAGCGCGGGGAAGTGCGGTCGCAGCACGTCGCCGATCGTCTCCACCAGCGCCGCGAACAGAATGAACGCCAGCTGCGGAAGGGGGGAGGGCGAGGGGGGAGCGGAGAGGGGGAGAGCGGGAGAGGGAGGCGCGGAGAACGAGTTCCGGGGAGGGGGAATTTGCAGGTGAAGTGCACAGTGGCGGAGCGGATGAGGGTGGATTGGATGCGGCGGAAGCGCAGTGATTGGCGCGGCGCATTGTGCGGGGGTGCCTCACCTCGCGGTGGTCCTCCTGCTGCCCCTGCGAGCACTGCAGCAGGAACGGCAGCAGCTCCGGCCACTCGCCGTTAGGCACGCTGTGCTTCGCAATCACGCTCGCCACGTCAGCACTGGCGCGGCGCACGACAGGGCTGCATGACGGCGGGGCACGACAAGGGAGCGGGGGATCCGCGGTCAGGAGGCAAAGCGAGGAATGCGGGAGACGCTATTATCTGACGAACGGTCTGACATGACAGTGATCTGCCAGATGAGGGGTGCGATCAAGCCCCACACTTTCACAGTTCTGCACCGCCGAAACTCGATCCCTAGAGCGCAAGCTTTGGATAGATCGATACCATGAGCCGCACCCCTTGCCCTACTCGTGAGTTCGCTACTCGTAACACCACATGCGCCTAAACGGTGACAATGCCGGAGGCCGACGGAACGGGCTTCGAGCCCGGACGGTGACGGAAGGAGATCCCCACCTGGGCTCGAGCGCGATGCTCTCGAGGAGTGCGGATTTGATGCTGGCCTTGGCCTCGGCGGGTTGCTGCGCCCACAGCCCCGCGACCTTCTTGCGCATGAGCACGGCGGCGAGCTGGCGCACGTCGGGCGAGGGGCCCGCCTTGAGGAAGTGCAGCAGCGCGAGCAGCACGGCGGGGTCCTTAGAGAGCTGCTTGAACGCCGCCTCCGCCGCCTTGCGCGACTCGTTGTCCGGCAGCAGCAGCTGCTGCAGCACCGCCGCCAGCTGATCCATCGCGGCGAGAATTGGGAACGGGAACAGAGGAGAAAGGAGTGAATTCGTGCGCGGGGATAGGCGGTGGTGTCGGCTCGCGCGCGATCTTAGAGGCCAACGCGAGGCTCTGTTGTGGCGCTCGACGCAGCGGGGAAAGAAAAGAGGTCCAACTGATGCAAGCAAGGTGAATTTGATGATCTTTGCTCCACAACTCCAAGGGCCTTCTCTTGGGAACTCCGGAGCGCGGAAGAATTCGTGGTTGAGAGATCGTGCTGCAATATTGGGGTATGTTTCGCAACCAGTTTCGTCACACTTGGCGAAAATACGCGACTCCGGCACCCTTATTCCGTTACCATGGATCCATCCATGGCATGCGATGCCATGCCATGGCATCCACCCTTGCTCTGTGATGTCACAGGCATGACAAGGTAGGCTTGGGACACAGATTGCAAGTGTGCTTCACGAATACCGAAGATCCATCTTTTCGGGCTTCGTCTCGAACAATAGCGTCGCTCCCAGGTTCTCCCAATACCATGAACAAATAATTGCTACATATATTAATGTTTACAGCATACGGAATGTTGGCTCCCACCCATCACAATTCAGAGAGCCAAGCAGTACTTACAGGAATGCCTAGCGAAGGGCAAGTCAGTGGTGAAACTTGTGAGCGTTGATGCATTTTCAATGGCCATGCGAAGGCCAACCAATACGCCATAACAAACAACATCATTATTTGTGGATAAACTTCACTTTGAGGAGAAACTCCAATTGAATCTGCAACATTTTCAACAGAAGCAAATGAAAATGTGTTTAAAACCACATCGACTGCATAAAGTGCCGGACATACAACGTAAAAAACATGTGAAGACCACATATTCAGTACCGTACCTGTGATGTATCGTAGACGATGAACTCATTGTAGCGCAGGTGGCTGTTCTTCACCCCCGAAGGCACGGGCTTGCCACAGGGCACGACGACATCGGAGGCCCACTTGACAAACTCGGCCTCCTTGGGCTTCATCATCCCCAGCCCCTTGGTTGCGTGCTTTCCCCGTGGCAGCTTCTCCACATACTGCACGGGAGGCAGGGCAGGCAGCATCAGCAGGAGAGTCGAGAGAAATACCAGGGTGCCAGTAGGAAAGGGATCTGGAAATGTGGCTAGCAAGGCGACTGTGAGTGCGGTGGCAAAGGAAGCTTGAGGGAAAAGTGGAGAAGCTGAGTGGAGTTTGTTAGAAGTTGCTTGCACCACCGGTTCAAAGGGCAATGAGTCGAGAGCGACGCTGAGCTGGGCAGCAGTAAGTGGGTGAATAAGAGGGACTGACCTCGGCGGACGTGAGCTCATAGAGAGCACCAAGCGCCACACGGGAGAGCAGCAGCAGGCCGATGTTGCTGTCGGGGCTGGTGAAGCAGTACTGCGCGCTCTTGCTCACCAGGTCCGCGAAATACACTCCCTTGCCAAACTGCCACGCAGAGAGAGGGGGGCGTGGAGGAGGGGAGGAAGTAGCATGTGCATTGGAACGAATAGGGATGGTGGGACAGAGGCATGCAGAAGGAATACACAGTGCAAGAATGGTGGCAGCAGAGCGGCACATTAAAATGCAGCAGGGATGCATTATGCATACCATGTAGCCGGTAACTGGTGCCTCTGGTGGTGCGATGCGCAGGCCCTGACTCAAGATGCCCACATAGTTGGTCACTCGTGATCCTGCATAGGGAAAGGTTGGGAGATGGCAGTGCAGGGGAAATTAGATGATGACATTACAGACACCAAACCATGAAGCACAGTATGCGTACTGTGAATGTAACCATATGAGCATGCTGCATACCATGCCACAGCAGCATGCTGCATACCATGCCACAGCAGCATGCTGCATACCGTGCCACAGCAGCATGCTGCATACCGTGCCACAGCAGCATGCTGCATACCGTGCCACAGCAGCATGCTGCATACCGTGCCACAGCAGCATGTGAGCATACCGTGCCACAGCAGCATGCTGCATACCGTGCCACAGCAGCATGCTGCATACCGTGCCACAGCAGCATGCTGCATACCGTGCCACAGCAGCATGCTGCATACCGTGCCACAGCAGCATGCTGCATACCGTGCCACAGCAGCATGCTGCATACCGTGCCACAGCAGCATGCTGCATACCGTGCCACAGCAGCATGCTGCATACCGTGCCACAGCAGCATGCTGCATACCGTGCCACAGCAGCATGCTGCATACCGTGCCACAGCAGCATGCTGCATACCGTGCCACAGCAGCATGTGAGCATACCGTGCCACAGCAGCATGCTGCATACCGTGCCACAGCAGCATGTGAGCATACCGTGCCACAGCAGCATGCTGCATACCGTGCCACAGCAGCATGTGAGCATACCGTGCCACAGCAGCATGCTGCATACCGTGCCACAGCAGCATGCTGCATACCGTGCCACAGCAGCATGTGAGCATACCGTGCCACAGCAGCATGCTGCATACCGTGCCACAGCAGCATGCTGCATACCGTGCCACAGCAGCATGTGAGCATACCGTGCCACAGCAGCATGCTGCATACCGTGCCACAGCAGCATGTGAGCATACCGTGCCACAGCAGCATGCTGCATACCGTGCCACAGCAGCATGTGAGCATACCGTGCCACAGCAGCATGCTGCATACCGTGCCACAGCAGCATGCTGCATACCGTGCCAGAGCAGCATGTGAGCATACCGTGCCACAGCAGCATGCTGCATACCGTGCCACAGCAGCATGTGAGCATACCGTGCCATAGCAGCATGCTGCATACCGTGCCACAGCAGCATGTGAGCATAACGTGCCACAGCAGCATGTGAGCATACCGTGCCACAGCAGCATGCTGCATACCGTGCCACAGCAGCATGTGAGCATACCGTGCCACAGCAGCATGTGAGCATACCGTGCCACAGCAGCATGCTGCATACCGTGCCACAGCAGCATGTGAGCATACCGTGCCACAGCAGCATGCTGCATACCGTGCCACAGCAGCATGTGAGCATACCGTGCCACAGCAGCATGCTGCATACCGTGCCACAGCAGCATGTGAGCATACCGTGCCACAGCAGCATGTGAGCATACCGTGCCACAGCAGCATGCTGCATACCGTGCCACAGCAGCATGTGAGCATACCGTGCCACAGCAGCATGTGAGCATACCGTGCCACAGCAGCATGTGGTTCTTGATGTCGGCACGGAAGGCCTGCTTCTCCCCACTGCGATCCACGCGGAACACGTCCAGCAGCTCCAACTCCCACTCCTGCCCATGCACGCGATCATAGCACGGCACCCACGGCCCATGTGGTACACGGGGCATGGGGATGGCATGAGGAGCATAGGAGAGAACATAGGAGGGACAAAGAGCCACGGAGTGACGTGTTATGAAGCAGAGCGTGTGCATGCATGGCCCTGTGTGTGTGTCCGCCTAGGGGGCCCCTTGCGAGCCTAGGGGGCCCCTTGCGAGCTTAGGAGGAGGAGGCCCCTTGCAAGCCTAGGAGGCACCTTGTGAGTGGGCGCATGCGTCTTGTGCAGGTAGTCCTTAACGAGGGAGTAATCAGCATCGCTGGGCTCCAGGGGCGACAGGCCGCACTGTAGCTGGCGGTAGTGGCGGTCCACCGGGTCCTCCTTCTCCCCCCCCTCGCCCTCGCCCGCCCCCTTGCTCGCACTCAGCAGCGTGGACGTCACCTCCATGTCCCTCAGTGCTTCCAGCATGCGAATCTGCATGGCATCCATGGCACACATGGCATCCATGGCACACATGGCACACATGGCACACATGGCACGGCACACACGGCAGGGCTCACACGGCGCAGCATACACAGCACAGCAGGACACAGGCATACTCAGTATGAGCAGCGTGCTTTACCGAGGCACGACACAGTGCAATCACAGCAGCAGCAGGTACGGATCCCACACACACACGCACCTTGGTGGTGAGCGCCTCGAGTGTGCGGATGGCAGCAGGGTTGACGGTGGGGATGAGAGTGAAGAAGCGGTTCGACGCGTCCACGATGGCGCTCTCCCTCCGCCCCGTGCTGTCGGGCGGCAGCTGCAGGGCGGCCTGCACGTCCGTGAGCACCTGAAAGCCGCGCTCTATGTGGCGCTTGGTGAGCTTGCCCAGCGGCATCTCCCTCACGTTGATCTCAAACTCCACCATCGCCTCCCTGCCAGCCATGATGGGACGTGGTATGGAGGGGCAAGGGGTGGTGGGGGATTTTACGGAAATGTAGAGAATAGAGGGGATGAGTGGCAGGGGCATAGGCAGAGGCAAGGGGTAAAGGGTGAGCGAGACGAGGGAACGTGGCACTGGCAGTTGAACAAGAACCTCACGAGAATCATCCCGAGAAAGCACCTGATGGACTTGAGGTCGAAGATCATCATAAGCAGCGCCACCAGCCGGCCATCCAGCTTGCTCCTTGTGCCCATCACGGCCCCGCCCTGCTCCTCCTCCTCGTCCCCTCCTCCATAGTCCTGCGAGCCAAGGGAAGAGGAGATGAGAACAAGCGCACTGTAGCCGAACGCTTTTGTGCTGCCGTTCCTTTGCTAACCCCACAACTCTGAACCCTAAACCGGTGATTTGCCCACATATGAAGAGGCCGGCGTTGCAACAGGATGGCAGCTGGTCGCCCTGCTGCTGCAGCTAGAACTACCGCTTTGGCAGTGTGGCTGGACAGGTGTCATAAGCCACTCACAATCTCAAGAGGGTAGAACTTCCCCGGTTGCTTCTCAAAGCCTTCTTTCTTCTGCCAAGCCTCCCAGTCGTTGCCTGTCTTCTCCTTGAACAGCCGCTTGAACAACCCCATTGCCTGCTCGCGACTCTCCTGCTCCAGCTTGCTGCCCCCGATGGCCTCGTTGCCCACACGCCCCCACTTGCGGAACACGTGGCACCTGGATGACTTGTCGTCCTCTATCACCTGCAGGATGTAGTAGCTGCACGAGGGGGCAGGAGAGGGCACGGGAGAGAAGCAGAGTGTGCAATGCGTGACAGAAGAGAAGCATTGGTGTGTGATCTGCACGAGGGGGAAGCGGAGACGTTGCGAGAGAGGTAGCCGTGAGGGGGAGGGGGGGAGGAAGAGGAGGGGTTAGTGGATGCTGGATGCAGTAGGTGCAGTGGGAACAGCATGCACTGGTGGGGGGGAGGGAAGGAGGAGGCACACCTGTTGGCGCCGGTGGAGAGGTCAGCGAGGGAGAGAGTGGTGCTCCACACGCACCCCTGGCACTCCAGCACGTGGCCCCTCTCCGCCAGCCCCGACGCCTCATGCACCGCCGCGCGCCCCTTCACTCGCACCGTCGCCCGCACCTGCTCCTCCCCCTCGCCCGCCCTGCCCTTGCCCTTCCCCCCAGCCCTGCTCTGCTTCCCGGCAGGGCGATTGGCGTCCACGTCCTGCACCAGCTGCAGCGAGAGGGGCAGCAGGTACGCGCGCATGGGCAGGCGGCGCTTCTGCGCGAGCGATTCGAGCAGATAGTCCTCTGAGACCACCGACGCTCCCAGGACGCTGGGGTGCGGGAGGGGCGGCGATGGAGGGCACGTGGGATAACCGATCAAGTGGGATAACCGATCATGTGGGATAACCGATCATGTGGGATAACCGATCATGTGGGATAACCGATCATGTGGGATAACCGATCATGTGGGATTGATGCGAAGGAGGGTGGCGGGAGAGGAGAGAGGGGAATGGTGAATGGGGTTGAGTTTAAGGCAAGGCAAGGGACGGATGGTAGGGAAGGGATGGGGTGGTAGCAGGGACGGAAAGACAGAAGAGGTGAAGAGGTGGAACCAGGTACAGCAACTTAGTGTTGAGAATCTGAAAGATCGTTGGCAGGGGCAGTGGGAGCAGTGGAGAAAGTGGGGTTGAGGAGGGGGAGAGGTGGTGGACATACAGGGGCGGCAGGAGCTTGTCCTCATTCTTCTCCACGTCTGCCTCAGTAGACACAATGCAGTCCACGTCTGGTGCATGCCGGGCGCAGGGGGCAAGTGGCGCAGGGGAGCAGCAGGAGAGAAACAAACGGGAATGAGGGGAAGGCAAGGAAAGCACGGCGGATGGTGGAGCGATGATGGAATGGAAGCACTGTCACGGCAGGAAACCCCGACAGAAAGAGCAATGTGAATCAAATCAGCGCGATGCTTCTGTGGGCAGCAAACCTCACGAAACAACTCCACACGCAAGAACAGCTTGCCAGCACACTCACTCACCCGCGCTCGTCAACGGCACCACAGCACCACCACCCTCCTCAATCTCCTTGCGCCACGCCACCTGGGTGCGGGATAGGCGCCCCACCAGCGCCACATGCACCCCCTCCAGCGGCTTCTCACGCTCCACTCCCCCATCCGGTATCGCTGCCTCCCGCGCCTCCCTCGCTGCTCTACCGCCCTTCCCCCGGCTCGCTTCCTTCCTGCCTGCCCCTGCCGTGCTCGCCTGCTTCACCTCGCTGCGCTTCTCCTCTGGGGGCAGCACCCGCTGCGGCCACACACTCGCCCCCTCCTCCCCCGCCTCGCTCCCCTCCGCCTTCCCCTTGCCTTTCCCCTTGCCCCGCCCCTTGCCCTTGCCCTTGTCGGCTGCTTTGAACCGCCGCTGCTGTTCTGCCCGGTACTCCTGGCAGCAGTGGAATGCGTAGGGAAGAACGCAGTGAGCGCAGGAGCGAAGAAAACAAGCCAGAATTTCAAACGCATAAGGTTCATCAACCACTGCTGACCCACCCGTCTACTCACATCAACAAACGGGTTGGTAATCTCATCAGGAAGCACCCAGGCAGCTTCCTTGCGCTGCACGTCGCGAGTGGAGAAGGTGCAAGCAGACCAAGCGGAGAGGAACCCGCGGCAGCGGTACCGCCCGTCCCAGTACTCCATGGGGGACGCGCACAGCTGGCAGGGCGGCAGGGGGCCAAACAGCATGCCGTCCGCACACCGCTCCCTCAGGGCATCCTCGCTGCCACCTGGCTCCTGCTGATTGGCCTCCAGCATGGCGCGCATGTCTACTACAGTCAGGTGGGCGCGCAGCTGGTCCTTCACCTCCCACACCCGCCGAGCCTGCTGCTCCAACGCCCGCTCTAGCTCCAAGCTCATCTTCCCCTCCTCGCCCTTCCCTGCGTCCTGTGGCTTGGCGTCCTCTTTCCCCTTGCCCTTGCGCTTGCTGCCTTCCTCGCCTCCTCCGTCCTGCTCCGCCCCTCGCTGCCGCTTCTTGGGGGGCTCTGAAGGGTCATGGTGGGATGGTGGAGGAGGAGAGGGTGTCGATCAGATAGGAGCATATAGACACAGAAACGGCACATGCAGGTACAACTAGGCAACAAATGCCCATCCAATGCCTCCCACCCACACACCGTACACTCACCTCCCCCCGTGCTCTTCCCCTCAGCACCCCCTCCCAGCAGCTGCAGCAGGCGCTGCTGATCCTCCTTTTGAAGCTCGCCCCACCCCTGCACGGCCTGCACGCGCGCCCCTTGGGGCCAGATGCCCTCGTCCCCCACACACGCCGCGTGGCGCCATGCCGGCACCTCCATGCCGCGACTCGACGCCTCCATGCGCGCCACTCGCAGCTGCGGTTCACGGGTGGCAGAGGACAGGTGCACGCAGTGGCAGAGGACAGGTGCACGCAGTGGCAGAGGACAGGTGCACGCAGTGGCAGAGGACAGGTGCACGCAGTGGCAGAGGACAGGTGCACGCAGTGGCAGAGGACAGGTGCACGCAGTGGCAGAGGACAGGTGCATGCAGTGGCAGAGGACAGGTGCACGCAGTGGCAGAGGACAGGTGCACGCAGTGGCAGAGGACAGGTGCACGCAGTGGCAGAGGACAGGTGCACGCAGTGGCAGAGGACAGGTGCACGCAGTGGCAGAGGACAGGTGCACGCAGTGGCAGAGGACAGGTGCACGCAGTGGCAGAGGACAGGTGCACGCAGTGGCAGCACGGAGTGGCACGTTAATTTTTCCATTCTCAGACACCAACTAGGCTCCATGCGCCCTCCATGCGCCCCCCTCTCTACTGATGCTCACGTGTAGGACAGGTGGTTTAGGGTCAGTGTATGGATGGACTGGGGTGGACAAACATGGTTTGATTCATAACGCAAATGGGATCAGAAGGGTTGCAGGGAATAATGGCATGGGGAGCAGGGCAGGGGGGGCATTCAGGGCGGAGCATTGGAAGGGGGCAGCAGCGGCTGACCTCGCCCTTGGCGATCTTCTCATTGCAGTGCCGACACGCCGACCGGTTGCTTGCAGCATACGCCACCTGAAAGCCAGCCACCGTCCCCGCCGCTGCTCCTTCCCCCTCCGAACCTGAATCATCCGCCACTGCCTTCCCCCTTTTCCCCTTGCTTTTCCCTTCGCTCTTCCCCCCGTCACTCTTCGCCCCCGCAGCCGCAGCAGCCTTCCCCTTTCCCCCTTTGCCTGCTTTCCCTGCTTTCTCCGCTTTCCCCTCGCCCCCCGCGCCCTGCGCGCCCTGCGCGCCCCTCTCCCCCTTGGCGTACGCCCGGAGCGCCTGCTGGTCCTCCCAGCGCAGCACGTCCGCGCCCTCCACGTCGCCCACGCTGGCAGGGGGAGACGGGAGGGGATACGTCGTGGCGTTGAGAGGCGACGGTGCTAGGGAGAACCGTGCGGAAGGGGCAGAGACAGAGGCGGTAAAGGGGATAGGAGCAGACGAGCAGACGAGCATGGGAGCAGGGGAGCAGGGGAGCATTGGTGGCAGGAGGGGCAGGGGGGCACTGACTTGGTGATGAATCCCGGCGCCTTGAAGATGCAGCTCGCGTGGAACCACAACTGCTCCGCGCACATGGTGGCGGAGAAGGGGGGATGGGAGAGGCATGGGCGGAATGAGAAGTAGAAGGCGCAATACGGAAAAAGGGAGGATGAGATGCAAATTGAGAAGAGGGAGCGGAATAAGGTTGAGAGCGGAGAGTGAGAATGGAGGGAGATGCAGGGGAGGCGGAACGGCGCGTGCATGACTGTAATGCCTTCAATCACAGGACACTAACCAGAGAGGAATAACGCCATGAATTTCAGAGTCATTAGAGCCATCGAAAGTGACGCAATGCGAGATGTATCCATAATGAAATCCGAAGCCACCATGAGCGCATTACCGTCATGAAGCCGTCGAACTGTTTGGACTCGACGACTTTGGCGATGCGGAAGGCGTCCTTGGCGATGCTCTCTTTGCACTTCCGGCAGCTCGCGCGCGCCGACTTGGCGTACTCCGCCTTGAATGGCTTCGGCTTGGCGCGCTCGGCCTCGTCCGCCATGGCGATGGCGTGTGAAGTACGCGGGGGATGATGGTCTGCGTGCTTTTGACTAAAATGGCGCGAAAAATATGGTACTCCTGATGCCTGTTTGAGCCCCTCCCGGTTGCCTTGTGAAGGGGGCATATAAGCTGTATCGTGCGTTTCGCATAAGTTCGTCAATTTCGCAGCTAGCTAAAAAGAATTCGCATGTGCTTATAAACAAGACCCTGCTACCTAGTTACCTCGTTTGACTTCAGTCTCTTCTGCTTGACTTCGGTCTCTTCTGCTTGACGCGCTTGTAATGTGGGTGCATGAAGCTGGGGAAACAACCTCGGGTGCAGCGTGTCCATCCGGCGCAAGGCAAATTCGCGCGCATGGGGTGAGCATCAGCTGATCAGTTGTTGGTGGCATTGGAGACCCAGAATCTGCTGTACGCAGTATTGACTGTCGCACTCTTGCCAAATAATTCAACGAACCGAGAGTGTGCTGCCTGGACTAGCTAGCGAAAATGCTGCTATCGTAGCATTCCTATGCATTATAGATTCTATGTGCATTACATGTGAATAATTTAGTATGATATTGCCACTGGTTGACTGAGAAATTGCTTTGTATATGCACACAGATCTCTTACGAGAAAACAGTTTCTAACAAAGCCCGCAGATCTTTCGTTTGACTAGAAACCAGAGCATCATCCATTGCACCCCAATCAGCGCTAAGAATATTTGAAGCTTGTTCCAACGCTGCCTCTCTATCAACATCCTCTGTTTCATCCCCGCCTTCTGTTCCCATTAGAAGCACCAAGTACAGTTGCTCTGCACAGTGCCTTCGAACCTGTTGCGAGTGCAAGGGTGGATGTGAAATGGAAGGGTCTTGATCATTTACACATGTAACACTGTTGAACGGGTTTGCTGTGACACTGGACAGGTAAGGCGGAGCTACGCAGTGGCGCGCAATGGCCACCGCCGATACGAGTAGTGGGTGCGATGCTGCCAGAGCAGGCACAATCTCAGTGGGGACTATGAGGTGAACTCACAGTGGGGACTATGAGGTGAACTCACAGTGGGGAAGCGCACGGCGAGCAGCCAGAGTAGCGTGGAGAGGGCATGCTGGCGGGCAGAGCAGAGGGGGGCGGCGAGGTGGCAGAGCAGGTCGACGGCCGCCAGCATCTTGGGCACCGATGCCGTGGGCTGTGGGCGGCACAGCTCCTCCTCCACACTCCCCACCAACACCCCAGGTAGAGCCGCGAGGGAGGTGGTGGGAGTGGCAGGCTGCAAGGGGGGTGGGAGAGGGCAGGGCGTGGGAGGGCAGGGCGTGGGAGGGCAGGGAACGCCATGCAGAACGGTAGAGTGGAGACGGCTGGCATGCAGAAAGGGATTGCTGGAGTGTGGATGTGAAGCAAGGGATGTGAAGCAAGGGATGTGAAGCAAGGGATGTGAAGCAAGGGATGTGAAGCAAGGGATGTGATGGATGGAGAGCGGAGGGAGCAGGTGTTGATGCGGCAGGTGCAGTGCAGTGCAGGGCTTCACTGACGTCATCTGAAGCCGGGGTGTCTGCTGAAGCCGGGGTGTCTGCTGATAACGACCCAAAGAAATCCGCCTCAAGTACAGCAGCGATGGCCTGCAGTGGGGGAAGGTGGGAAGCAGTAGAAGCACGCACGCAGCGAGAGCAGAGGGGAGATGAGAGTGGCAGAGCGGGTGCAAGCAAGCATCAACAAGGACCCACACACAAGCATGCATGGCGGCAATGCGTCACAGCGCTTGGCTTCGCTGCACCCTCCCACACGGCAGGTCACACAACCGCAAGCCGCTGGCCATGCTGCTGACATTCAGGTGGCTCCCACTCAACTGCAGCGGTATACCTTGATGTACGGGATTATGACTCGATTCTGCTTGCGGTGCCGCCTCAGCAGCACCACCACGTCCTCTGCTATCCGCCCCTGCACCTCCTCCCACTGCCCACCATCTCCCCCCTCTCCTGTCCCCCTCATAGCCCCCTGTGTCCCCTCAGCTGGTTTGAGAGAGAGCAGGGCGCGCAGGGAGGCGGCAGTGAGGGAGTGGGAGAGAGCGCCCGCGGAGAGAAGCAGCCCTGATAGCAGTGGCAGGCGGTAGGCTGGCAGCAGCAGCAGCGGGGCCAGACGGGGAAAGACAGCCGCAGGATTCTGGCAGGGTGGGGAGGGAAGGGGGTGGCGGGGAGGGAGGGGAAATGACGGAGGTGAAGGCGAGCGGAGCAGGTGGGTGGGAATGAGAAGGACTGGAACAACAAGGGAGCTGAGAGAGTGGAATAGGGAAGGGCACAGCACAGCACTGCAAAGCAGAGAACAGTGGGAGGCGCACCTTCCATGCGAAGTGAGGGTCGGAGGGCACGTGCTGCCTCAGCTGCTCCCACCCATCCACATCCCTGCACACACCGCTCCCTTGTGCCGTGCCGCCCACGCATTGACTCACTGCGCCTCCTCCATCCGTCTCCTCCCCGCCTCCACCTGATGCCCCCTGCGTGCTGCCACCAGCACCACGTGCCTCAACTGCCTCTGCAGTCCCTGCTTCCCCTCTTGTCTCTTGTGTCCCTGCCATCGCTGCACCGTGCTTGCTCCCCCACAGCAGCCGCTGCAGCCCCTGCCCCGCCACCTTGCGGGTGCCGTCAATCTTCTCCCCCGCCTGCTTCAGCAGCACGCCCACCACCCGCCCTGCCACCGCTCTGCACCATTCCCCAACCCCAATGTGCCGCCGCTGAGACGATGGGGCGTCAGGTGCTGCGTCAGTGTTACTTGGTGCATTTCCCACCTCGCCTTCCCCCACCTCTCTCAATCTGTACACTTCTTCCACCCACGCCACCAGCGCTTTCATGGAAGCTTCCCTCACGAGGCGGCCCACATCGCCGCGCTGGTCCTCCGTGTAGTCCTGTGCTGCTCGCAGCAACGCGATTACCACACTCTCCCCCCCCTCCTCCCACCACCCACGCCCTTCTAACCCACCCTGCCTGCTCACCTCAACCTCCTCCTTCTCGCCCTCCCCTTCCGCTTCTGCCCCATCTCCCCCACCCGTCCCTGTGTGCCCCCTTGCGCCTGCCCCACCGGCCTGCAAGAGGGGAATGATGCTCGCTGCATTACCCAGTGCCTCCACCGCTGCCGCCCGCACTGCCACGTCAGTCACAGCACGACGCCCCCGCTGCAGGGATGACAGGGAGGATAAGGGGTGGGAGGTTGTTGCAGCGTGGGTGACGGATGGGTGGTTGGAGGAAATGATAAGGGACTGGAGATCCGATCCTAAGGGTGTCTGGACACACGAAATGAAAGGATGAGGCAGCAATGTTAGGGAAGTCAGAGGATAAGAAAGGCAGGATGGAGGGAATGGGGATGGGTGGAGGGGAAGAGGCAGAGAGCACTCACATTGTCGGTGGCAGCAGCACACAGCGCCTTCACCACCCGCTCTGCCAGCTCGCGCCTTGACCTCTCACCCTCATCCACCCCTCCCTCACCCCCTCTCCCCTCCGTCTCCCCATGTCTTTCTCCGTCCTCTAGCCCTGTGTTTGCGCCCCCCACACCTAGCCCCACGTTATCAGTGCCAGCAGCAGGGGAGTCAAGGGGAGAGGCGGAGGGCCAGGCGGGGCAGAGGCTGGGCAGGAAGCACTGCAGCGCCAGCACAGCGCCTCGCCTCGCACTCGCTGCTGAGCTGGCGGACTCCAGAGTCGCCACGTGGCGCGTTATTATTTGGCGAGCAAAGTCTGTGCAAGCAGGGGAATGCTGGGTGCGAGCGAGGTCCCACAGGGCTGCTGCTGCTGCCTCCTGGATTGACGAGACAAAGCGCGCCCGCGCACACTGGGGAAAAGGGGGAAAAGAGTGGGGAAAAAGATGCGGGGTGGGGGAAGGAGAGGAAAAGGAGGGTGATGAAGCATGAGCATTGAGTTAATGCAGTACGATGTATGCATTGACACGGTGTAATCACCATGCTTAGTGCGTGCTCATTCAACTCCTTCCCTCTCCCCCCTCCCTTCCCCATCCCCTCCCTCACCTGCAGCTCCCCCCCATCCCCTGCCAGCATGTCGTGCAGGCAAGCAGTAGCCACAGTGAGAGCAGGTGTGGGCAGGGGCGGCAGTTGTGCGCGGGGCAGTGCAGCAGCGAGCGCGGAGAGCAGGCGGCAGCAGGCCACCTTGAGATCCGCAGCTAGGCGCCCTCGGAAGGAGCGCGGGGCGAGCAGCGTGGGGAGGGAGGCGGTGAGTGAGGAGAGGGTGTCTGAGAGGGCCGGGGAGGGCGGGGAGGCGGAGAGGGGCGGGAGGAGGGCTGCGGTGGCCAGGAGAGCCCCATGGCGGGAGGGGGGGGTCGGGGGAGGCGAGCAGGGGGAGGAGGTGTAGGTGCAAGAGGGAGAGGAGGCGGGGCGGGTCAAGAGGGACAATGGCGGCGAGGGATTCAGCTGCGAGGGCGCGGATGGCCTTGTCCCAGTGGTGCGTGCTGGCTGCTAGCTTGAGCAACAGCTGCTCGCGGTACTCCGGATAGCCTGCCACGAATAGTGCCACCTGGAAGCAGGGGGGACAGCAGGAGGAGAGGCAGGAGGAGATATGGGAGGCGAGGAGAAATGATGGTAACGGGGGCACGTGTGTGGTGCATGTGCATGTGCTAAAGGGCAAAGGCAGATGAGGACAAAGAAGGCTTCTCAGACTGACAGATGCGGCTGTGGTGGGCACCTGAGTGAATGCAGTGCGAGTGGATGACAGCGACGTGACGTCAGCCGCATTCACTATGGCGATGCCCCCTGCTGGCACCCACTGCTCCTCCTTCTCCGCACCACTCTCCACCGCATCACCTCCTTGGCTAGGTCCTCTGGTGGAGGCATGGGGTGTGCCTCGGGTGGTGGGTGTGGAGAGCGCTTGGGCGTCGGAGATGCAGCCAAAGCGGCCCACCACCTCCTGGAAGGCCGCTGCTGCCGCCCACCTGCACTTCATCTGCCCATGTTGCATGGGACATGGGGTGTGAGGAATGGAGCACACGGCATGGGGCATAGTGCATGGGGCACGGGGCATGTGGCAATGGCATGGGGCATGGGGTATGGCGCATGGCGCATGGGGCATGGTGCATGGGGGATGGGGCATGCGGCATGGGGCATGGTGGTCACAGCAGCCCACCTGGCGGTCACAGCAGGCAACGGCGAGGAGGTGAGGGCATAGCTGCTGCAGGGAGGCAGCAGCAACGGGCGGTGAGAAGGAGTGGGCGATGGCCCAACACACATACGCCGCTGCATCGCGCACATGCGCCCCCGTGCCCACCGCCCCCCGCAACACCTCGTAGTGCAACGCCTGGGGGAGAGGGAAGGGGGGGGAGAGGAGAGAGGAAAGAGAAGAGGGGGAGCAAGCGTGAGGGGTGGGCGATATGACATGGCACGAAAATTTGAAGTGTGAGTGCTGTGCGGTGTAAAAGGGCTTGAGTGCATGAGGGGCAGAGAGGGTATGGACTGCGGATGGCACAATCATGTGGTGGGGTTTGGAGCATAGAGAGAGATCATTTGTGTGTGACGTGAGTGAATGAGTGTTGAGGTCAAGTACGTCTACTGAGCGATTAAGGGCAGTGGGGGACGAGACACACGGAGGCGAGGAGCGGCGTGACGGAGTGCAGGCGCGACGGCAGCAGCAGCCCTCTGGCTGCCAGCTCTGCGAGTGCCAGACACACGCCCTGCCATGCACTGTCCGATGGTAGCTGAGGAGGGCAAGGGGGAAAGAGGGAAAAGTAGACGGAGGGATGGATGGTGGGATGGTGAGTGTAGAATGAGGATCGGTGAACTTGAGGCACAATGAGAGAAGAACAATATATCCTTAGTAGGAAGATGGTACAAGCCTGAAAGGCTAGAGCAATGTCCTTTCCAAGGATGAGTTCTAGAGAAGTGGGAAGCCACATTTATGTGGCTGAACTCTTGAGGCTAGCTGCAGCACCTCAAAGCTGAGGGCAGGGCTAGCCAACCTTGCCAAGCTAGCAATTGAGGCCACATGTTGCACATGTGGGCCAGGCTGGAACAACAGCCTACATGGCAGCATGTGGCACACCATAGGAGCCAACAAGGTGAGTATGGGATGGGTGGACAGATGGCAATGCCAACTGTGACCACACTTCACTGTGGGTGAGTGTGGTGGAGTGTGGGAGTGTCATGTTCGGCATAATGAGAAGAGAAGGTGCTGCCGATGAGAGTTGAACCCGCGACCACTAAGACCAAAGGTACCCACTGGGACATTCTTGCTTCCACAACACCCCCCCTCAAGGATGTCCCCGGGGTAGGGTGCCTCAAGAGGAAACATGGGTGAGACCGAGAAGACCACGGATGCGAAGAAAAGGGTCACGGGGCAAAGGCTTGGTCCCAATGTCAGCGAGGTTGTCTTGAGTAGGAACAAAGTGAAGGGTGATGGAGTGGTCGGCAACATGATCGCGAATGAAATGGTGCTTGATGTCGATGTGCTTGGCCTTGGGATGAAAGATGCCATCGTCCTTGGCGAGAATGATGGCACTGTTGTTGTCACACGAGATACGGGTGGGGCCGGTAGGGGGAAGTCCAACTGCAGTAAGGAGCGAACGAAGCCATAATGCCTCGTGCACCGCGGCGCCCAGAGAGTAATATTCAGCTTCACATGAAGAGGTAGCAACGACGGCTTGGCGTTTGGACTGCCAAGAGATGAGTGACGGACCGAGGAAGAACAAGTAGCACGTAACGGAGCGACGCAGCTCCCCCTCCGGTCCCCAAGAGGCGTCACACCAGCCATGAAGTTCGAGGGTGTCGGGAATGCCACCAAGGAGAAGCCCAAGGGAGGTAGTCCCTTTCAAGTAGCGAGCAATGCGTTTGGCAGCCGAGACGTGAGGAGTAGACCAATCGTGAAGGTGACGAGCAAGAACTCCAGCGCTATATGCGAGGTCGGGACGGGTCCCCACCATGGCATACATGATGGAGCCGACAAACGAGGTGTAAGGGAAGGAGGAGGAGTGCGGGGAGGAAGTCACGGGTGGCTGAAACTTTGTGTCCATGGGAGCGGCAGCGGGGTTCAGTGGAGAGAAGGAGTAGGTGTCTAGAATGGAGGTGATGAATTTGGATTGATGAAGGTGGAGAGTGCGGGAAGTTCGATCACGAGTGATGTGAAAGCCAAGGTAGTAGGAGAGAGGTCCGAGGTCACGAAGTTTGAAGCGAGATGAAAGGGCATGCTTGAATGAGGCAAGAAGAGAGGAGGAGGAGGAGAGAATGATGAGGTCGTCAACATAGACGAGAAGCATGAAGAAGGATGCAGCTGTAGGCCGATAAGGTGAGTGAGGAGGAGCAATGAAGAGGCCGGGGTCCGCACGAGCAGCAAAGAGGTGAAAGGCAGCAAGCTCCTCACGAAGATTGCGGTACCAGCATCGCGGAGCTTGCTTCAACCCGTACAGCGGTTTGTGCAAGAGACAAACTTGCTCAACACCATGGACCGCCGGAAGGTCATAACCGGGAGGCTGCATCATGTAGAGAATCTCATCAAGGGTGCCGTTGAGGAAGGCGTTGGAGATGTCCAGCTGATGGACGTCCAGGTTGAAAGCGGCAGCTATGGTGAGAAACAAGCGGAGGGTGGCGAAGCGGACGGTAGGAGCAAAGGTGTCATGAAAATCAACACCATCACGTTGCTTGAAGCGTTTGACAACAAGGCGGGCTTTGCGGCGTTCAATAGAACCATCAGCGTTCTCCTTGACCTTGAAAATCCATTTGCATGGAATCGGCTTGCAATTGGGTGGTCGAGGAACAATGCTGTAGGTGTCATTAGCGTGCAGGGCAGCGAGTTCCGCATCAGAAGCCTTGATCCATTCGGCAGCATCAGGGCCGGTACGAGCCTCATGAATGGTTTGAGGTTCGTAATGATGGTGAAGGGCAGCATTGGCAGAGGTGTTGGAAAGAGGAGGAAGAGTGAAGTCAATGGGTTCGGAAGGGGATGGTAAGACCTTGAGGAAGGAGAAAAGGGAAGGATCGGGAAGAGCTGAAGGGGATGGCGGGGAGGAGCGAGTCGTGCAATGGGGAGGGGGAGGCGAAGAGGGAGGAGAGAAGGATGGAAGGTGAAAGTCTTGCGGCGTCGAGGGCAGAGGAAGGTTGGAAAACATGGAGGAGGAGAAGATGTGGCTGGTGCGGGCAGGTTTGGGGATTGTGGGTGGGGGTTGGTGGAGGAAGGTATGGTGGGGGAAGGAGAGGGAGGGGAGATTGGGTCCAAGGAAGAAGGGTGTGTAGGAGGAGGTAGTGAGGAGGATGTGGGTGGAGATGACGATGGAGGGTCGCGAGAGTCGTCGGAAGGCGGTGCAGAGGGCTCCATGAAGATGACATCACGAGAAAGGATGACACGGTGCTGAGATGGGATATAGATGCGGTAAGCTTTGGTGCCGTCGAGATGACCATATCCAACCATGATGCCGGCCGTGCTTCGGTCGTCGAGCTTAGAACGCCGTTGGGAAGGAATGAGGACCGAGACGGGTGAACCGAAGATGCGGAGGTGTGATACATCCGGACGTGCACCGGTCCATAGTTCCATGGGAGTCTTAGAAGTTGAACCACCCCGACTAATGGCATGATTACGAAGATAGGCAGCAGTAAGAGCGGCTTCACCCCACCAGCCTTTGTCCATGTGTGCATCATGGAGCATGGAACGGACCATCTCAAGTAAAGTCCGGTTGGCCCGCTCAGCTACTCCATTTTGCTCAGGTGTGTATGGCGTGGAGAGGTGGCGGGCGATGCCATGAGCTGTAAGGAATGAAGTGAAGGCTTTGGAAGTGAACTCCAAGGCACCGTCAGAGCGAAAGGTTTTGATGGTGTGTGGGGAATGCATGTTGTGCACCCGAGTGACGTAAGCCTTGAAGCATGAAAGTGCCTCCGACCGGTGGCGTAGGAGATACACTGTAATGTGGCGGGAGTAGTCGTCAATGAAGGTGAGAAGGTAGCGAGCGCCGCCAATGGTAGTTCCATATGAAAGCGGTCCAGCAATATCTGAGTGAATGAGTTGGAGTGGGGCTGTGGTGCGAGAATGGGACACGCCAAATGGCTGACGTGTTTGTTTCCCACGATAGCACGAGATGCAGGGGGGAATCGAGGTGGAGGAGAGGTGAAGACCAGTGACCAGCTGCTGCCGATGAAGTGTTGACAAGGCCTGCATGTTGAGATGCCCGAAACGACGATGCCAGAGGTACGAGGAGGTGGTGGTGGAGGCTGGACATGCAGTTGGCTTGATAGAAGGAGCAGCACTGCTCTCATGATGCAGTTGAAGATAAAACAGATTGTTGCGGGTGTAGCCCTCGCCAATAGGAACGTCATCAGATGTGAGAACAACGCGCCCAGCAGCGGGGAACGAGACGGCAACGCCGGCAGCACCAAGCGCACGAACAGAGAGCAGCTTGTGAACTGATGAAGGGAGAAATAGAACGTTGTCAAGCTGAATGGTGGTTTCCGATGTTGGTGACCGAAGAGTAGCCACCACCGTGCCGACTCCCAAGACCTTGTAAGTCTCTCCTCCACCAAAACGAACAAGGATCTCTTCGTTGGGCTTCTTGAGAGACGAAAACAGCGAACGATCCGAGCAGATATGGGAGGATGCGCCGCTGTCCACCAGCCACGACGAAGTCCGCTCCATATTGAATGAGGAGGCCGTGAATGCCGATGCGTAGGGAGCCCCATAAGGGAAGAGGAGGAGGAGAAGGAGGATGGTGAGAATGAAGACAGCAGCGACGAGAGGAGTCCATGTGGAGAAGATGGGGTGGTGGCTGGTGCTGACAGCAATGTCCACGTACCGGGAATCAGGTACGGACTGAGGGGTTGATGGGGCAGGAGGGGGTGTGGGGGTCGGAGTAGCTTCAGCAGAGGAGCTGGTGGAGACATGCACCGAGGGTTGGAAGACGGATTTCTCCCGTTTAGAGCTTTCTTCAAGCTCTTTCTTCTTCTTCAATTTGAAGCATTCATCGATGGTGTGACCCGTTTTCTTGCAGTAACGGCAGGTGGGCGACTGGCGTGAACCGGAGCGAAGAGGGTGGGAGGGCTGGGAATTGAGGTTGTATGCACCCTCCATGTTACGGCTTGTACCAGATTGTGACCGCTCCCAATCGGCATCGAGTAGGCGTGACTGTAGGTATTCAACCGTCATAGACTTTATGTCTTTCACGGTGCAAATGGTTTCAGTAAGGGTCTTGAACGAGTCCGGAAGGTTGAGGATGATGGAGATTACCACCACCCATGATGGTAGCTCAAAGCCGGCAGATTTGAGTTGGTGTGTAAGGTTTCCAACTCGATCAAAGTAGGAGCGAAGACTTGTTGTTGGGTCCATCCGTGTAGTGATGAGATCCCGGAGGAGAGCCACTTGTGCATGGTTGCCCATGCAGTCGAACCGCGCCATGATGCATCCCCACATATCCTTTGTCGTGTTGGCTTGAGCAAGAGTGAGCGATAGTTGAGGATGGACGGCTGACATGAGAAGATAGTATGCATGCTCCTCTTTTTCTTCATCCGGCAGCGAAGCAATCGAATGGGCTGTCTTAGGGGCTGCACCGCTGTTGCCTTCGGTAGTCTCTCCACCGCTGGTTGTGGAAGAGGAGATTGAAGGACGCGAAGCAACCTTGGGATCTCCAAGGAGGGAGATCAGCCCGAGGACATTGAAGATGTAGCAGATTTTTTTCTTCCATGGAATGAAGTTGGAACCATCTGGTTCCAAGATGGGAAGGGTGTGCCGACCGAGAGGCGTTTCAACTTGAGCCATGAAGTGTGCAACGTTCACTAAGCTAGAAGCCTTGCTCTGATACCATGTAGAATGAGGATCGGTGAACTTGAGGCACAATGAGAGAAGAACAATATATCCTTAGTAGGAAGATGGTACAAGCCTGAAAGGCTAGAGCAATGTCTTTTCCAAGGATGAGTTCTAGAGAAGTGGGAAGCCACATTTATGTGGCTGAACTCTTGAGGCTAGCTGCAGCACCTCAAAACTGAGGGCAGGGCTAGCCAACCTTGCCAAGCTAGCAATTGAGGCCACATGTTGCACATGTGGGCCAGGCTGGAACAACAGCCTACATGGCAGCATGTGGCACACCATAGGAGCCAACAAGGTGAGTATGGGATGGGTGGACAGATGGCAATGCCAACTGTGACCACACTTCACTGTGGGTGAGTGTGGTGGAGTGTGGGAGTGTCATGTTCGGCATAATGAGAAGAGAAGGTGCTGCCGATGAGAGTTGAACCCGCGACCACTAAGACCAAAGGTACCCACTGGGACATTCTTGCTTCCACAACAGTGAGAATGAGATTGATGGGAGTCGCAATGTGGCCATTGAGGGCAGAACAGGTCGGAAAAGATCCAAGCTGAAGCGATCGGAGGAGACGAGCAGGGGACGCGAGCACAAACGCATGGGCATTGTGACTTCATCTCCTGCGGTTGCACCTGGAAAATACCCTCACCCCGTGCGGGTGCATTGTAACAACACCCTCACCCCGTGCGGGTGCATTGTAACAACACCCTCACCCCGTGCGGGTGCATTGTAACAACACCCTCACCCCGTGCGGGTGCATTGTAACAATACCCTCACCTTGTGCGGGTGCATTGTAACAATACCCTCACCTCGTGCGGGTGCATTGTAACAATGCCCTCACCTCGTGCGGGTCCACCAAGGCAATGACGGCCGCCACCACTTCGTCCGCCATGCCTGCTGGCAAGCCACCCACCACCCGCGACAGGCCGCGCGCTGCCGCCCACCGCACATCCGTTGACTGGCAGTTGGGAGGACGGGGACGGGGGGAAGGGTGAGTGGGGAGGTGAGGGCGGAGGCTCAAGTTATCGTAGGAGCACAATTGTATTGATGCGTGCTGCTGCCACACTCACCTGCTGCTATCACTCTCGTACACGCACCTCGTGTTTGAGCATGGGCAGCAGCTCCCCCACCGCCTCCTCCACCAGCTCCGCCACCTCCTCTTCCTCTTCCTCCTCCCCCTCTTCCTCCCCCTCCCCCTCCCCCTCCCTCCGCCCCAGCTCTCTCTCCTCCGCCCCTCCCACTCCTTCCGCACTTGCCGCCACCCCCTGTTCCGCACCCGGCCCAGCACCTCCTGCTGCTGGCGATGGCAAGGGCGCGGGGGGGGCTGCAGAGGGGGGGGCGTCCACCCGATGGATGCTGCGCTGTGAGGGGCAGAGGGGGGGGTGAGAGGGTGGGGTGGGAAGAAAACGAACAGATGAGCTCTGCTTTGGAAAAGAACGAAGGTATGATTGTGCAAGCAAGGGCATGCGGGGTGCTGCTGTTGTACGAGACAGCCAAGTGGTCGTGCTGCCGTAGAAAACAAGCTAAGGCAAGGGCATGTGGAGTTGAGTGCTTGAGCTGCCGTACCTGGTAGCGCCAGGAGGGCGCACTGCCATACCTGGTAGCGCCAGGAGGGCTGGCGGGGCGGCAGAAGGGAGAGGGCGAGGCGATGGAGCAGCTTCACGAGGGCCAGGGGGAGCAGCAGTGAGACAGGACGCGCGCACATGGGGTGGGGAGAGGAGCCCGCGGAGTGGGGAAGGTTGGCGGGCGAGGTGGAGTGGAGGAGGGGCAGGAGGACGGCGGCCCACACTGGGTGTGTGTGGTGAGTGAGCTCTGCACGTGGGGCTGTCTGCACGCTCACAGGGGGGGCAAGGGGGAAGGGAAGGGGAGAAGGGGAAGGGCAACAGGGCAAGAGACGATGGTGAGTGTAGGTGGACGGGAAGGTGGGTAGCAGGATGGGGGAATGGGGGCTGAGGAAAGCCGTGGGGACGAGTCCATGCGGCGACAGGCAGCAAATGGCAGGCAGCATCAGACAGCGGGCAACAGACAGTAACACAGCAGCGGAGGCACCTTGAAGATGGCGGCGAGGGTGAGGACGACAGGGGCCAGCAGCTCCTCCGACAGTGCCACCCGCTCCTTCCCCTCCTCCACTGCCACCACTGCTGCTCCCTCTCCCCTGCCTGGCGGGCCGTCCGGAAGAGCGGCTGGCGATGGCAGGGCGGCAGAGAGCGAGGCCACAAGGCGGCGACTCTCTTCCATGAACCTGGGAGTGAGAGAGCATGCACGTGGGGGGATGTGGCAAGGAAGGTGCAAGGGCGCACAGGTGCGGGATAGCACGGGGATGGATCTGGGGGTAGAGGGAGGGGGTGGATGGTGTATGGGGGAGATGGGCGAAAGGCGTGTGGAAGAATGACGAAAGGTGGAGACCGCATGGTATACCAGGAACGTGCATGGCGTAGCAGGCGGGTGCTTGGCCTACCAGGCGAGGGGGGAGTGCATTTCGGGGCGGGAGAGGAGGCGGGCGAGCATGAGGGGGACGGACAGGCGGCCGTTGGGCAGGAAGGAGAGGCACACGCGCAGCAGCACGTCGGGCAGCGACCATGCTTCTGACAACCTCCCTTCCCATGCAGCGGTGGGGAGTGGTAGGAGGCGGTGGAGCACATGGGACGCCACGGGTGCTGCCGCTGCTGCTGCTGGTGGCGGTTGGGAGGAGTCTACGAGGGAAGAGGACGTGGAGGAGGGTTGCAGGGAGGCGGGGGGTTGGGGGGCGAAGAGGTTGGAGTCGAGGGAGGGGAGGGAGAAGGGCAACAGCAGCAGGTGCGAGAGCCACGACAGCAGCGCGTAGTGCACGCGCCACTGCTCCGCCGCCTCCACCGCCACCCCCACCTCCGACCCCGCCTTCTCCCCCGCACGCCATTCGCATGGGGAGAAAGGGGAAGAGGGGTTGGAAAATAGGGGCAGACACAGGGGCGGACGGATGAGCAAATGCAGTGATGTACGGAAGGCGTGAGGGGCTGTGAGTGAAGCGTGTGGCGTGCGAATGGTACTCCAACAACTCGCTTATCTCGATTCATCCCTCCTGCCCCACCACCGCATCCCACCACCACCGCATCTCACCACCGCATCCCACCATCACCGCATCCCACCATCAACGCATCCCACCACCACCGCATCCCACCACTGCATCCCACCATTGCATCCGCGCTCCCCCACCACTGCATCCCTGCAGCGCTACCTTGGGCGGAGCGGGCGAGAGACGGAGCACGAGCAGCAGCAGCGCGAGCGCGGGTTCGAGGTGGGAGGGCGCGTTGGGGAAGAAGCGGCAGACCACCTTCGCGCCGCGCACGTACGCCACCACCTGCACCACGCACGCCGCCCCCGCCACTTCCCGCACCATCCGCTGCGCCTCCGCCTCCCCCATCGCCCGCTCGAGTTCCCCCGACCCCGAGGAGCCTCCTGCAAGCGCGGAGGGCAGCGCGGCGGCGGCGGCGAGCGCGTGAGCGGAGAGGCAGGTCATGGCGGGGGAGAGCAGCGCGGCGAGGTGCGGGTCCAGCAGCTCCGGCTGCTCGCGGTACTTGGCGCACTGCCACGCGGGGAGGGATGCATGAGTAGTTGGGCGGATGGGGCGCATGAGCGGGTGCGCGGTGATGGAAGAGGGACGTGGACACGGCCAGCGATGCCTGTGGGGACGGCTGCATCGCGCGGGTTACGGCGCGCAAGGATGTCAGCGCGAGTGGCGCTGCACCCAGCCCTTCACGAAGGCTGCATTTCCATTCCGATTCATGAGCTCATGGCGTATGAGCTACGAGCGACGAGACGAGTCTACGCGGCACGACCGACGATCTAAGCCACACGTATGGCGGTCTACGGGCTATGAGCGGCGAGCGCGAGGCGTACGATGGTTTCGAAGCGGAGCAGCACTGCAGCCCGCGGGTCGTCGCGCATCTCCCCGTCGCCCGTCGCGCGCCTTCGTTGCGCCTCCTCATCCGCGTCGCGGATTCCGAAATTCGACACACCACATTGCATCGATCCGGACTGATCGGCTTGCGCGGAGGGCATGAGTATGCCGACGAGGCGCTGCAGCTCGCTCGCCTCCTCCAGGAACGACAACTCGCAGCTGTCGCCCTCGAAGTCGCCCTCGTTGCAAGGCGTCGCATCGTCGTCGTGGGCCATGGCGACTGGCGCCGCGCGAATTTGGGCTCTTCGTTTTGGGCCCGACTTCACTGACTCGCGCAGATCTGCTCTCGTGGCTTCACTTCGGAAATGCTTCTTCAAGCTGGGCAAGTGCGTGTTGTTGATTGCGGGGGCATTTGCTGTATACTGTGTTACGCACTGGCTGGCGAAGGTGCACCATTTCGCCAAGAAACAGTTTTCGCAAGGCTGCGTTCCTTCGAATGAGCTGACGAAACAAACGTGCGAAATATTTTCAGGGATGGGATCCACTTCGGCAACTCTGGGGCTGTCATCTTTTGTAGATGCAGCCGCGAAAAGATTCATGACACAGCAGGCTGGTGTGGCTACCCTCCGGAATACCCGCGACATTATCGACTTGGAGAAAAGCGCCTCCTCACGCGCGCAACTCTTCAACGCCATTCGCGGACATGGTGGCGACGTGCGCAGCCGGCCGCATTGCGGGATCGTGCCTCGCGATCCACGGCAAGGCGCCTAAAGCCAGCCCCACCCAGCCATTACCCTCGCGCGTGCCGTCACGTAACGCGCCCTGTCTGACCAGCCTCCAACGGATCGCTTCTCCGAGCGACGGCATCCTGTGTGCGACGACCGTCCGATCGAGGGCGCGGATAGCGATGGTGAGATGAGATCTGAGCAGCGTCGGACGATCGCAGCAAGTGATCTCATATGTCCGGAAAGCTCTAGGTGTTGAAAAGGTCTGAGGCAGAAAGGCGCGTACAGCGCGCCAGGCAGGTGCACTCAATGCGCCTCCGTTCTGTTTCCTCTTTTGCGTTGATCCGATGGCATTGCATGACATGTCGTGGAATGGCATGGCATGGCATGGCATGTCGCCATGGCACATGTGGCATGGCACGGCACGGCGCGGCCTGGTGTGGTGTGGTACGAACCATGGCAGGCGGCAGCGGGATCGGCGGCGGGCAGTGGCGAGCTGCGGTTCAGCAAGTACCAGGGCATCGGCAACGACTTCATTCTCGTGAGCTCCTTCCCTACCTCCCGCCCTCCCTGCCTGCGTACTCCGCACACCCCTTCGCCTCTGCTCCTGCTGCTGCTGCTGCTGCGGCTGTTGCCATTCGTCCCATGCTCCGTCGCTCACACCGCCACGACCCCCCCTGCATGGCTGCCCGGCCTGCCAGGTGGACAACCGGCATTCATCGGAGCCGGTGGTGTCGCAGGAGCAGGCGGCGCGGCTGTGCGACCGCAACTTCGGGGTGGGCGGCGATGGGGTGATCTTCCTGCTGCCGGGGCAGGCGGGCGCCGACTACACCATGCGCATCTTCAACAGCGACGGCAGTGAGCCCGAGGTGTGCAGTGCGGTGCCATGGACTTCAGTTCAGGGGATCTGAGCCCAAAGTGTGCAGTGCAGGGGGGTGTGAGTGTGAGGCAGATGGCAGGCGGGCGCCCACTACTCCATGCGCATCTTCAACAGCGACGGCAGCGAGCCAGAGGTGTGCAGTGCAGTGCAGTGCGAGAAAACCCGAGCCCAAAGAGTGCAGTGCATTGTGGTGTGAGCGTCTGATGTTGGCAGTCGGGCAAGGCATGCAAGGGATAGTAGTGGGATGGGCAAAGCACACAGCTCTATTGCGCTGCTCTCTTCTGCACGCCCCTTGCTTCTCGTGGGGTGAAAAAGGACTTTGCATGTGCTGTCAGCACCACCTGACTCATGGCAGCATGCTTCCCTGCATTCGCGCCTGCATGCCCCCCTGCATGGCATGTGGCATGGCAGATGTGTGGCAACGGCATCCGCTGCTTGGCCAAGTTCATTGCTGACGTCACCAACTCACACGACACCCAAACGTACGCCCCTGCCCGTCAACTCTCTCTCACTCGCTCTATGATCCTTACCACCTCGACCACTTCTCGCCCTCTAAGTTGCTTTCTCCTCCTCCTCTCTCTCAGTCGCCCTCTCCGCACTCCCCTCTCCCCATTCTCCCCCCACAACCCCCCACTGCCCAGCATATCCATATCCACACTGGCGGGTGTCATGCAGGCGCACATGCGCGCCGATGGCCAGGTGGGGTGGGTGGGGCTGCTTGAGCACAGGGCCTTGTACTATCCCAAGGGCCTCTGCTGCACCGCTGCTGGGTGCTGTTCTCCTCACTTGCACCACACTCCTAGTCCTGCTGCAACCTGCCCTCATCTACCCTTATCACATAGGTTGCTCTTGTCGTCCATTCCGTTGCGCTTTTTCTTTGACCATATCGCCTCCTCTTCTCTACTCCTCATTTCCCCTTTCCTCCCCTTCCCTTCTGAACCCCTCCCCCCCGCCTCTCCCAGGTGCGGGTGGACATGGGCGAGCCCATCCTGTCCGCAGCGCTCATCCCCACTACGCTGCCCGCCACCACCGCTGATGGCGCCGTGGTGAAGGCACCACTGCAGGTGGACGGGGTGACGTGGCAGGTGACGTGCGTCAGCATGGGCAACCCGCACTGCATCACCTTCTCCAACTCAGATAACCCCCAGGTTTTCCCCGTGCTTGTAGGCAGTAGCAGTGGTATTATGGTGCAGAAGGCACGAGCCACATGCATTTTTACGTGCAGCAAAGAGTTAGTCTTGTTCCCGTGTCATTGGTGTGCTGACTGGCATTGCTCGCATGACCCCTGTCCTCTCCACCTACTGCCATCGGCACCTGCTCCACTGTGTGTGTTGCCACTGATGTTCGTGCACCGCACCACCGTCAGGGCCTGGACGTGGCAGGCATCGACCTGCACCGCATTGGACCCATGTTTGAGCACCACCCCGCCTTCCCTGCTCGCACCAACACAGGTCAGCTCTTTCTCCCTCTCCCTCTCCTTCTCCCTCTTCTGTTCGCTTCCAGCACTTCTTTTAAACCGCCGTGTGCCCCTGCGCCTCTCGCGTCTCAAGCGTTTCCATTCTTGTCATGTGCGCGATGGCATTTTATACTTGCAACCGTAATCCGTCATACCCTGTTCCCCCACCCATCCCATATCCCCTGTTCCCATGGTTGCATCAGAGTTTGTGGAGGTGATTTCCCGCAACGAGCTGCGCATGCGAGTGTGGGAGCGCGGGGCAGGTGAGCCCCCTCACCCTCGCTCTCGCCCTCGCATCCCTTCCCTGCTGCTGCTGCCGCCGCTGCAACTGCAACTGCCTTGATGTTACTGCTATTGCTGCTTGCGCCGTCCAGCCTGTCCCACCTCCCTCTATAATCGTCGTGTGTGTCTTTCTTTCTCCCACCACCGCCCTGCCCCTCGCAGGTCCCACGCTGGCGTGTGGCACGGGCACGTGCGCCCTCGTTGTGGCGGCCGTGCTGGAGGGCCGTGCCGAGCGGGTGAGTCGGGGATGAGGGAGGGGGAGTGTGTGTAGTTGGGAAGTGAGTGACTGAGGGGGCGTGGATAGTGATTGGAGCAGCTTGGGTGGGGACAGCGAGGCTGTGAGGGGCGGAGGAGCGCATGGCATCGGTAGCACTCATTCTCTTGTTTCTCCCTCCACCATACCTTGCCTTTCATGCCATTTGTCACCCGCGCCCCCCATCCCTCCCAATGTCTTTTCCTCCACCCTCTCCACCCCCTTTTCTCACAGAACTGCCTGGTGCATCTGCCGGGGGGTCCGCTGGAGATCGATTGGAGGGAGGAGGACAACCGCGTGCACATGACCGGTCCTGCTGACCTTGTATTCTCTGGCTCCCTCGCCCTCCACTGATGCTCGCCGCGCTCATGCTTACCGGGCAGGGCTGACGTTTCATTTTAAGCCTCCCTGATTCCGGGGGAAATTTTCCCCCTCTATTATGGGTGCACATTTTCCAGAAAAGCAGTACCCTGATTGCTCAGGGTTGTAAAGTAGTTAACACTGATTGTTCAGGGTCGAGAACTGAACATCAGAGTAGTAACGCACGCTTTGTTACCGGGGAAAAAGTCCCCACTCTCCATGAAGTCTGCGCGCTGTGTTTCCTGCTGGCTGTTCACTCGACTGATTTGTGCAAGGCGGGTGTGATTGACCTATCTAGTGTGCGAGTGTGACGTTTTCCTGTCTTATTACCATGCCCAATCGGATCTCTTCAGCTGGCATGCATCAGACACGCTGCGACTGTAGTTAGTCACCCTCAGAGGCGTTCCTTCTTGAGCGAGTGTACCGACCGTACGGGCGAGTCACACCTGTTCGAGTCTAAGATTTCCGCTGTCAGAGCCTACCGGTGTAGCTTATAATGGTGAAGATAAATATAACGGAATTACATGGTGTACACGGCACATAGTCAAGTGATTGACATGCCAAGAACACGCTCCAGATAGTCTTGCTGCTCTGCTTCACCTGCCAACTGGTTCCACTGCACCGCACAGCACCGCAGTCAAGGGAGGGCAGAGAGGCAGGGCAGGGAGGCAGAGCAGGGGAAAGCTGAGATGTACAGCCAAGAGAGGCAGTGAATGACACGAGGTGCAGTGCCTGCTTGGTGGAAGGCTATGGAGATTCAAACCTCAAGAACCAGTATGAGGGGATGGAGATGCATACATGGTAGAAGGGGATGGAGATGCATACATGGTAGAAGGGGATGGAGATGCATACATGGTAGAAGGGGATGGAGATGCATACATGGTAGAAGGGGATGGAGATGCATACATGGTAGAAGGGGATGGAGATGCATACATGGTAGAAGGGGATGGAGATGACGGTCCATCCAGCCGCCTCCAGATGCCGCCTCTTGAGCACCGTTGCTCCCAGTGGTGTCACTGGCAAGGCAGGCGGGCATGGGAGTAGTACAGAGGGCAGAGTAAGAGAGCAAGATAAGGATAGCAGGGCAAGGATGGCAGGGCAAGGATGGCAGGGCAAGGATGGCAGGTCGAAGATGGTAGGACAGTGAAAGGGGCACGTTATGGGATGAAGCAAAGGAAAAAGAGGCAGAAGGGAACAGCGGCGCACGTGTGTTGCGGGTGAAGTGTGAGGGTCCGTCCACCTCCAGTGCAATGCGGCGGGCCGGCAGAGCGATGTCAATGGAGTAGTGCCACACGCATGGCGATGTGTACTCCGATACCCACCCCATGCCCCCCTCCCATGCATCCCTTCCCTCGTTTCCATCTTCTCCCTCCTCTCCCTCGTCACCCTGCTCTCTCTCCCCTCCTCCCCCTTCCCACTCGTCCCCCCGCCAGGCCACGAGTCCCAGAGCGGAGAGGGCCTGCTCCACCTCCCAGTGGCTGCACGGCTTCTGCTTCTCCCTCTCCGCCTCCGCCCTCCACATCCGCGCCCCCTCCTCCCACACCCAATCTGCCCCCTCCTCGTCTCCTCCCTCTCCCCTTCCGACCCTCCCATCACCTGCCTCTTGCCCTCTTCTCACCCCTCCACTCCCCCCACCACGTGCCTGCTCGCCCTCCTCCCCCTGCCCCTCTCTTCCCCCTTCCACTGCACCCCTTGTCCCCTCCGCCCTGAGAGTCACCGCCACCTGAAACAGCTGACTCACATGCCGCTCCCCCACTCTAGCCCTCTGCTCCCCTTCCGACCCCTCCCCCTCCGCCTCCCCCTCCTGCTCCTCTCCACAGAACTGCCTTTGGCGGCGGAGCACCTCTCCCCAGAGCGCGTGGAAGAGCGCCCCGTGGGTGTGCTGCAGCACAGCCAGCGCCCACACACTGTTCGCCACGTGCTGGGGCGACCACGCTCGCAGGCACGCCAGCGGGCAGGGCGGGGGGGGAGAGAAGGCGGTCATGTGCAGCTGGTTGGGGGGTGGCTGGGAGGTGTGGGGGAGGGAGGAGGGGGAGAAAGTGGCAGCTGCACGGTTGAGGGCGCGGGAGAGGGCGGGGGGCAGCGCGTGGTGCAGGCAGGCGAAGGCCCACAGCAGCTGCGAGAGCTCGTGGGGGGACAGCACAGCGCGGCCGCTGGGGTGGGCGGGGGTGGTTGGGAAGGAGGGGGAGAGCGGGGGGAGCGCGAAGCAGGCTTGGCGGGCGAGGGTGGGGAGGAGAGCGGGTGGGGGGAGGTGGCGAGCGAGGGCAAAGGCAGCTGCGATGTTTGCAATGTGCTGTGGGGCCAGGGTGTGCTGTATGGGCAGCACTGCTGCTGCCACCGCATCCAACTCCTCCGAATACACCCATGTGCGCTGTCCGCCACCCCTCTGCCCACCCGCTCCCACCTCCGCACCCCGCCCCGCAACCATGTCTCCCGCCCCTCCTCCCGCTCCCCCAATGCGCGCGAGCGCCCACACGAGGTTGGAGAGGGTCTGTGCATTGCAGCGGGCGGCACGCACAGCAGGGAGGGCGGCAGCAACAAGCAGACGCAGGGGAGGCGTGCGGGCTAGGGCCAGCCGGGACGGCGGGGGCATGCCCTCCGCTTGCATGTGACGTGCAATGCGGTGCAGAGCGGTGACTGCGTTGATTGGCGAGAAGAGGGAGCACGCTGCTGCCTCCTCCCACCTTCTCTCCATCTCCCTCCTCTCCTTCTCCATCTCCTCCTCCTCTGCCTCCTCCTCTTCCCTGCTCCTCCTCCCGCCCTTCTCATTACCACGCACCTTGCCGCTACCCCAAGAGCTGTTAGGCCCCACCCCATCACCCACCCCTGCGCCCCTGGCTGTTGCACCTGCGCCCCCCACGTGCCACTCAGGCCGCGGGGGCAGGCGAGCCATCTCATTCGCCACCACCCGCATGACGTCAGCGAGGCACGTGGCCTCCACGAGCCGTCGGTTCAGCGCTGCTGCTCCCCCTGGTGCCGATGTCAGCAGTGACGGTGACTGTAATGGCGACGGCAATACTGCCGGCCGTTGCGACTGCGGCGGCTCACCGGTGCCTCTGTCCGCTTCGCCCACGCTGCTGCTGCCTTCGCCACTCGTGCGGCTCCCCACTCCCGCTGCGCCCTTCCCCCGCCCCTCGCCTTGCACCTGCGCTGCTCTTCGCCGGGAGAGCAGGCGGTGCGCGAGAGATGGCGATGGGGGCGAGGAGCCGGAGGCGGTGGGTTCTGAGGGCGGCTGGACTGGCTGCTGGCTGTACAATGGCGTCTGCACCGCATTGTCACCCCTCTGCACCACACTGTCGGTCGCCATCTGCCCAGTCCTCTCGTCGCCATCTCTCTGACTTCTCCCGCCCTTGCGGCGCATTAGTCTGTTCCGGATCCCGTCGTTGTAATCAACCACTCTCTCCGATTGCCTCTCCGCCCTCGCTGCTTCTCCGCTGCGCAACCCCACGCGGCCCTGCGCTGCTCCATTTCCCCGCTGAATCGCGCCGATGGCAGCACCAGGCGGAGAGCGGCGAGGGGATGCGGAGAGGGCGGGCAGCGACGGGGAGTGGCGCAAGATGGGGGAGGCGCGGGGTCGATGGCAGCACGGGCGGAATCGGGGCGGACGCGCGGGGGAGAGCGCGGGCCCCGGGCGGGGGACGGCATGCGGGCGGCCCAGCGCCCCCATGGCTAGGCGAGGGGGAAGGCGGCGGCGGATCAGAGCGGTGATCGCTAGCGGCTAGGCGGCAAATGACCTCTGTTGGAAGCACGGTCGGACCGTGGTGCTGTTTTTTATGCGGAGAGGCAAGACTTGGTCGGACCAAGGTGGGTCCGAACATCCAGGACGGGAAGGAGCATCGCAATTTCCCTGGTCTGACTGGGTTCTGTTTGGACCATTCAATGTAGTTCAGGTTCAACTGAGGGGAAGGTGATGCTCGGTTTGATTCGGTAAGTGTGGTACAGTTGAAACATAGTGTTGGCCTGTTACTGGACCGCTCGCTATTTTCGTTTAACCATCTCGCCAGTAGCAAGGCCATCGTGCCATTTCCTCCACGACCCTGCCACCAGCGAGGTCCATTTGTCACGGAAGTCGGTTTGTACGCCATATTGTCCGCTACGAGGCCCAAGTCGTGCACCGAACCTCCTCAACCCACACGCCTCCATCTTCACACTTCCCACTCGCACAATCGCAACCGCCAATCTTCTGTTAGCCGTCAGCCGTCAGACGTTAGTTCCAGTCGTCACTCGTCACTCGACAGTCGAGTCCTCAACGGGAGGTGCAACGGTTGCGAACACGCGAGACGGGCCGCCGACGGACTCACAGCGCGGCGCAGGCAGCCGTTGTTGCCGGGCGTCCCGAGCCGCAGTACGCGAGGGAGGCGCGTCGTACTCTAGGAAGTGACGGTCGCAGCGCGCTGAGCCTGGCGGAGAGGAGCGGGGGAAGGCGTAGAGGCGCGAGAAGGAGACGCGCGGAGGACTGGTTAGGGCGGACGTAAGGGCGGAGGCAAAAGGGCGAAAGGGCGAGGAGCAGAGGCGCAGAGAGGGGTAGGAGGCGCGGGGATGTTCAGATCGCGGAAGAACGACGATGTGGTGAGGCGCGTGGGGGCGTGCAACAGGTTACGAGGGTATGAGCGACGGGTGGGGAAGATGAGTTGATCTGAGATGAGAACACGCGCTTCCCACTCGGATTGCACGTGCCCCGTCAGGCGCTGATCCACGTGGCAGCCGCATTGACTAGATGCGCAACGGTCTCTTCCTTCCAGTGTGCCTCCGCTTCCTCTCACCCCCCGCTTCTCCCATCCGTAATGTATCCCCCCATTCCCGCGCTTTCTCCTTCCCTCTCTCTGCCCCCCTTCTCTACATACCCCATGCCCATGTCCCCATGCCCCATGTCTCCATGCCCCATGCCCACGTGCCGTGATCAATGTGTGTGCGGGGTGGCAGCAGAGCCGGCTGACGCGGCAGCAGAAGGAGCGCGTGAAGCAGTTCGTGAGCAGCACTGGGGCAAGGTGGGGCGCACGGGGGCAAGGTGGGGCGCACGGGGGCAAGGTGGGGCGCACGGGGGCAAAGTGGGGCGCACTGGGGCGCACGGGGGCAAGGTGGGGCGTGTGCGTGGGGAATGCAGGGCGGACGGTGTAGAAGGGAATGGCCGTTCCATGTGCCGCCTAGCAGGCGAGCAGGTAGGCAGAGAGCACATGTATGTAGCCATGTTAGAGCCAGCAAGGCCTTGCATTTTTACCACCCACGCATGCCACCCATGCCATGCCACACATGCCATCCATGCCATCCATGCCACCCATGCCACTCATGCCACACATGCCATGAATCCTCATCAGCTCCTTTTCAACTCAACGTCTCATCCCGTCCCATGCGCGCCTGCTTGCGTGCACACGGCAGTGAGCGCGATGCGGTGGCAGCGCTGCAGGGCAGCGAGTGGGAGGTGGCGCCAGCACTGGCGCGCTACCAGGCGGGGGGGGCGCCCATGGCCGCGCGGGGCGGAGGGGGCTTCCTGGCAGCCTTCACGGGGCGCTCGCACTTCCACCACCAGCAGCAAGGGGGGCATGCCATGCCGCCCCAGCAGCCACCAGTGGATCCCTTACAAGAGCTCTTCCTGCGCTACAAAGGTGCGTGCCGCTGACATATTTAAATCAAAACTGCTGTTTATGCCGTGCCGGTATTGCAATGCAAGCTAAAACCTGGTTGGTGTGCTGCTGGTGCCCTGTCCCACTCGCCCTGCTCCGTGTGCTGCATCAGATCCGGATTCAGATATGATTCTCGTGGACGGCATCTCGCGCATGTGTGAAGACCTCGAGGTGCGCTCATGCTGCACGTGCCTGCTCCTCAACCTTCCTGCTCGCTCCCACCCCACACTCCCAACAGCACCTCCCTGCTTCTCTTTCCCAACTGGCCCCATTGCCATTGACAATATTATCTCCATCGCCTGAGTCTCCCATGTTCCATCGTGGCCACGTGCTCTACTCTCCTCCGTACTCTTCCACTCACAATCCCTTTTCTCCCTCTGTGCCATGCCATGTTGTTCCCGCCCGAATACCATGGTACCCCGTTAAACGTGCCATGTGGGCGGCACCAGGTGGAGCCACAGGACATTGTTATGGTGAGCGCGCATGCCCTGCTCTCTCTCCTGCACGTCTACTGCCTTTTTGTACCATGCGATTGATGCCGCACTCTTGGCTGCTATTTCTTGTCCACGTGCATGCACTGCATCCCTGCTGTAAGCCCCATACGTGTTCCCTTCCCCCCATGTGTCCCATGCCCCACAGCTGGTGCTGTCATGGCATCTGGGTGCGGCCACCATGTGCGAGTACTCGCGCCAAGAGTTCACCTCCGGCCTGCGCTCCCTGCGGTCAGCCCCTTGCCTTCTCACTTGCATGCACCACACAAAATCCCCCTTCCCATGCTGCCACTGACCGACCAACGCTTGTCTTGTGCTCTGTTGCAATGTTGCTGCAGTTCAGGTTGTCTACTCTTGGGCCTCACAAGCCCCTCGCCTTTCTCAACCCCGCTCATCCTCTCCTTTTTCTTTGCCCATTACCCCACCTCCCCTTATCCACACCCCCGCCTCCCATGGTGGCAGGGTGACGTCACTGGAGGCGCTCAAGGCGCTGCTGCCATCATTCCGGCGCGAGCTGCAAGACGAGAGTGAGCAGCCATGGGAGGGAGGGGAGATGGGATGGGAAGGAGGAGGGAGATGAGTGTGAGGAGCAGTTAAGTGGGTGGGTGGGGAGGTGGGCGGGGTGTGGGGCAAAGATTGTGAGTAGCGGACCAAGAGGCATCGTAGGATAGAGATGTGCAAGCATGGCACGACCCATAGGTTGCACTTGTGTTTTCTTTTCGTTCACATCTATTTTCTGGCCCTTCCTGCCCTATCAGTTCCGCTCTCACCCCACCCAACGACATCATCGCATTCCTATCCTTTCATTCTTTGCTCCTCTCGCCCCCCTCTTGCCTGTGGTGGCCTGTGTCTCACTCAGATGTGTTTCGCCAAATATACAACTTTGCGTTCGCTTGGGCCAAGGAGAAGGTAGGCGTGCGAGAGAGAGAATAAAGGAGGGCAGTGCGGACTGGTGGCAGCAGAGGGGTTGGGTGTGGTGCAGAGGAGAGGTGGCATGCGACTCTGAGTGAGAGGAGGTTGGCTGCAGAATGACCATTGTAATGTCACTGCTCCACACAGCACTGTCAGTGCCCTGCAAGGTGCTCCAACCCACCCACGCTGTCCTCCTGTCACCGCCATCGCTTTGCCCTCCCTCCCCACAGGGCCAGAAGTGGCTGGCGCTGGACACGGCCATCGGCATGTGGCAGCTGCTGCTGGGCTACCGCAGCTGGCCTCACGTCGACCACTGGTGTGACTTCGTCAGGGTGAGCCACACGCGGGCGCTGGACTGAGGTGATGAGGGTGAAAAAGTTGGTGGAGTGGTATGGTATGGTGAAGGTGGGACAGTAGTGAGGGTGAGTGGAGGCGGTCTGTGAACACAGTGGTTGCTGAGGAACCCTCACCATGCCTCTGTGAACACAGTGGTTGCTGAGGAACCCTCACCATGCCTCTGTGAACACAGTGGTTGCTGAGGAACCCTCACCATGCCTCTGTGAACACAGTGGTTGCTGAGGAACCCTCACCATGCCTCTGTGAACACAGTGGTTGCTGAGGAACCCTCACCATGCCTCTGTGAACACAGTGGTTGCTGAGGAACCCTCACCATGCCTCTGTGAACACAGTGGTTGCTGAGGAACCCTCACCATGCCTCTGGGAACCTGCTTCACCCTTCCCTGCTTTCATATCCCCGTGTCTTATGTGCTTGTTACATCTGAACCTCACCGCCGTGGTGTGTGGCACTACATGTGCTGCATGGCTGCACGCATGGCGTGGTTGGATGTGCTACATGGCTGCATGCATGGCGTGGTTGGATGTGCTACATGGCTGCATGCATGGCGTGGTTGGTTGTGCTACATGGCTGCACGCATTGCATGGCGTGTGTGGGTGGGAGCAGGTGCAGCACAACAAGGCCATATCCAAGGACACCTGGTCGCAGCTCTTTGAGTTCTCCCGGGTATGTTGCTCCTGCTCCTGCCCCGCCTATTCTGCACCCGCCCTATCCTGCCCTTCCTACTCTGCACCTGGCGGCACCTGCCTTTCCTGCCCCTGCACCCATGCGGGTTGGTTGGGGGGAATGCCCCCCTTGCCATGCAAGCACCATCTCCACCATCATGTGCCCCTGCCCTGCCACTGCATGCGCCCTGCTCAAGCAATCCATCCCCCACCCCCCTCCCTCTCTTCTCCCCCTCGCATGGGGGCTCTCAGTTGACGCAGGGGCAGTTGGAGCAGTACGACGAGGGCGGCGCCTGGCCGTACCTCATAGACGAGTTCGTGGACCACCTCCGTGCTGCTGGCTCCCTGCCGCCCAACTGATGCTCGCAATCTGCCCCCATCTTAGGCACCCACCGTCACACTCGCCTGATACCCAACTTCCTATGCACCTCGTGTTGATGCCCCACGACCACCCTCGAGCGCAGAGGTCTCTTTATAAGCTATTGAAGGACACAACAACAACAATGGATAGGTACTGTACAGTTTCTCAATATAAATTCCATGCATGAACCAACACCATGTTGAAACACTGATTCTAAACAGCCCTCAAAAGACAGTACTGATTCTGTATGTTTCTGGCAGCCCATCAGTTGGGCCTGTTACGCCAATGTTAGTGAAGGGGCGGCCGAGTGGGCACATCACTTGGCTCAAGAGAGATGTATTTATGAGATCAGCAGCGGCTCTCCAGCGTAGTAAAGAAAGCGTGCAAGCAGGGCGGCATGCTCGCGTGTCACCACTGGTGTTGCCGGAACAGCGGGGATTCCCCTTTGGGCGGCGGGCGGGCGGCGGGCGACTCGCCGCGGGCGGGCTGCAGGAGGGCGTCGACGAGGAAGTGGTCGGCGTGGATGGCGGCCTTGAACTCGTCGAAGCTGAGCCGCCCGTCACAGTTGGCGTCCATGCGGTCAAAAAACTCGTCCAGTATGCCCGGCTCTAGGATGTCCGGGGGTAGATAGTCCTCCGGTAGCGCCTGCCATGCCATGCCAGCCAAGCATGGGTGCAGCAGAGAGCAGAGCATGGGTTGGCAGAGCATGAGTTCAGCAATCGAGTGATGAGTGAGTGAGGGGCGATGAGACATGGCAATGTAACCAACACACCTGTTTGTCTCGAAGGCTGTAACTCAGGTTTCTGCCAGTGGTGCGTTGGTACAAAATAGTGCAGGTACACTGCTGGGTGGAGAGCGCTTCTGAACAAGCTCAGTTTCATCTATTGAAAACCATTCCCATCCAGACACAAGCATGGCGGCGATCTCACCTTGAGCATAGCAGCGAGCTCGTCTTTTGAAATGTATCCTGAGTCATCCGCATCGTACATCTGCATGCCGTGGAGAGGGGTGAGTGGCACAGGGGAAATGGATGGAGGCAAGATAGTGGCCCCCTCAATGCATTCACCACTGACCATTCCTTCACGATTTGCTTCACAGGGTGTTTCTTGTGGAGCTGAGGTCGCAGGGCACACTAGGTGGGTATGGAGCAGTGAAAAAGGAAGCCCTCACCTTCCATTGCCACATGCACTGCAATCCCCCTCCAACCCCCCTAACCCAACCCGCCCCCTCTTCCCTCCCCTCAATCCCCACGTGTCTCGCAAAAACTAGGACATCTAGAACGAAGGTGCCTATAAAGAGGCGCACCTTGAAGCAGAGGCGCAGGGCGTCGTCGCCTTGGGACTTGCGGAAGGCAGCGAGGCCGCAGACGATCTCGCGCATGTCGACGGAGCCGTTCTTGTCGCTGTCAAACACCTCAAACACGCGCCTCGCCATCGGCACCAGGCTGCCCATGCCCATGGCCCTCAGCACGTCCTCAAACTCCGCCACCGTCACACTCGTACCACTCGACGATCTGCAAGGCATGCAGGGAGGGAAAGGGGAAAAGGGGGCAATGGGTGGGGTTCAGTGGGGAAAGCAGGCGGTGCAGGTCAGTGAATGGCACCATAGATTGGTGAAGGGAAGAAGCGGGTGCAAGATTTGTAATGGGATTCTTGCGTGTACGCATGCGTGCGCACGCGTGTGCGTGTGCGTGTGCGTGTGCGTGTGCGTGTGCGTGTGCGTGTGCGTGTGCGTGTGCGTGCATGCATGTGTGCAGCTCACATTCTCTTGAAGTGCGTGTGCAGGTCCTTGAGCTCCGTCTCATTGAGTGTGTCGAATCCACCCAGTATGTTCCTCAGCGCCCGCGTGCGCAGCATGAGCTTGTTGCTCACGATGCTCGCATACGCCGCCGCTCGGAACTTGCGGCGTGCGTTGAAGGTGAGCAGGCGCCGGCACACCTCCGGCTCCATCGGCTCCTGCCTCGCTGCGTCGCCCTTCACCCACGGGTGCAGCAGCAGCTGCCACGGGCGCGCACAGGAGGCAGGGCGCGGCTCAGAGTGGAGGGTGCCGTGGAGAAAATGGAGAAATGCGAGTGGGGCATGGGGCACATGGACAGAGGACACGAGGCCGGAATTGATGGGTGGCCAAGGAGAGACTTATTCAATACGGAGCTTACCTCAGCAGCGGTGGGTCGCTTGGAGGGGTCGACGGTGAGCAGGCTGGTGACGAGCTGCTTGGCGGACTGCGATATGCTCCTCCATGTCGCCTCCTCAAAGTCAAAACTCGCCTGCCAGACGCACACACACACGCACACCACACACAATGACACGTCACGTCACATCGTTCCCAGAACCCCTCGGGATAGCAGTGGCATAGAAGCAAAATGACTTGTTGCAGCAGGAAGGGAAGGATTGGGCATGAGAGGCGCAGGGAGGAGGAGGAGGAGGGACTGACGTTGAGAATGAGTTGCTGCTTGGCGCGGTTGTTGAGTGCATGGAAGGGCGGGTACCTGCATGCACAGCCACGCACGCGTCACGCACCACATACGGAGCATCAGGTACCAGGTGGGCATAAGGCATTTAGAATGAATCTCTGCACCTCGCCCACCCACAGCTGAGGTCACAATGAACGGCACCAGCATCATTTGCAAACAAGCACACGCGAGCCCGTCCCGTTCATCGCTCATTCCATGAGCGCGCATCCTATTCAGCCACACAGCGTGCAACCCCCTTCGCAGAACTCCCGCCCACAGAATATGCACCCTGTTTGCAAGGTATCTGCCTCCCCACACCCCGCCCCTGCGCCCGTGCCTGCCCTTGCCCCTGCCCCTGCCCTTGCGCTTTGCCCTGTCCTTGCCCCTGCGCCTGCCCCTGCCCTTGTCCCTGCCTCTGCCCTCGCCACAACCCATGCCCCTGCCCCTGCCCCTGCGCCTGTCCCTGCGCCTGTCCCTGCGCCTGCCCCTGCGCCTGCTCCTGCCCCTGCCACTGCCCTTGCGCCTGCGCCTGCCCTGCGCCTGCTCCTGCCCCTGCGCCTGCTCCTGCCCCTGCCTCTGCCCCTGCGCCTGCCCCTGCGCGTGCCCCTGCGCCTGCTCCTGCGCCTGCCCTCCCCCCACCCCTACCCCCGAGCAAGCACTCCCCCCACCCCTCCCCCCAACCTCTCCTCACGCCTTCCCCCCATTAGCGCGCGCACCCGCAGAGCAGGATGTAGAGGATGACGCCCAGCGACCACATGTCCCCCGCCGCGCGCGATTCACGGCGGGACAGCGCTTCGGGCGAGACGTAGTCGATGGAGCCAAAGAGGCCCACGAGCGGGCTGGTCTCGCCCTCAATGGAGCTCAGCCCGAAGTCCATGATCTTCAGCGGCGCGTCGGGCGCCGCCGTCAGGAACAGGCAGTTCTCGGGCTTGAGGTCGCGGTGCGCGATGCGAGCGGCGTGCAGGCTGCGCAGCCCGTTGGCGATCTGGCGGATGACGAGCGCGGCGCCCGCCTCGGAGTAGCGCTCCTGCTGCACGATGCGGTCGAAGAGCTCCCCGCCGGAGCAGAGCTCGAGCACGAGGTGGATGCAGTGCGCGTCCTCGAAGACGTCGACGAGGTGGATGACGTTGGGGTGCGGCGAGACCTCGTCCACGATGCGGTTCATCACCATGATCTCGTTCTCCACCAGCGCGTTCGACACGCTCGGCCCGCCGTGCTTCTTCAGCGTCTTCACCGCCACCGCCGTGCCGTCCTCCTTGGACTCGGCGCGCTGCACCACGGAGAACCCGCCCGTGCCCAGCACCTCGTGCAGCGTGTAAAAGTCCTCCAGCCGCCGGCTCTCCTCCTCCTCCACGTCGCCCATTCGCGCCGCGCCCGATGGGCCCACACCGGGGAGAATGGAATGAGACCGCCGCCCAGGCGCTCCGGCGAATGGAGCGAACGCAGAAAATGAATGGAAGAGTTCGGACAGGGACGGCGGGGTAAGATGCTGGCGGACTGTGGGAACCGAGGTTGGCCAAGAGAAGGTAGAATCTTCAGCGTAACTAACGACACTATGCTCTGGTTCTAGATGCAACCGGCGATTGCGGTCACAAAGATTTGGGGGTCCTCCCAGATTGTTCCCCCAACAGTGCCCAAACTAGGGCCTGGTAAGTTGGCGGCGGTTTGACTTCACAGCTCAAGACAAGTGAATGGCGACGGTGACGAAGTGAACTGATTTCGTCAGCGGCCTCAACCACGTCCCCCTCCCAAGTTTGTGAATTGTAACCCGGACGACGATGTCCCCGAGAACTGACTCCGTTACTTGCTGGGAAGAAACCGAGGTGGGGTCAAGGCAGGCGCAACCTGCTGGTAACTGCTCGACGAAAACATTTGGGCATTTATCTTAGCGGTAACACTCATTGGAGTCGATCGCACGCAAGGTAAGCCACGTGTCCAAATCTTAACTAAAGTATCTTCCGATGGCCTCCATGGTAACCAACGTGCCAGTTTGGTCAACATTATTTCCAGAATGGTAATGAACAGTGCATTCCGAAATCCCAACTGGTAACTCGTCAGAACATCCGCGATGTACACCGTACGTACCCTGTATGACTCGGCAAAACTGAAAATGAGATGGATATAGGCTTCGCATTGTAACATATTTGTTATAATTTCACGTTTATAACTTGAACATGTGTAGATGATAGTAAAACAATAAATGCTATTATGTTTGTCAAATTGTTGTCTTGACTAGGGATTACGAAATTAAAATGGATCCTGGATCCCATTTCATGACGTAGGTCAAAAACGATACTACATAAGGTAACAGGTTGGATTTGCATATATGTTGGTTATATTTATAAGAGACAAGCACATAACTTCTGTAGACACCGTATTCAGGATCCATTTTAATTTCGTAATCCCTAGTCAAGACAACAATTTGACAAACAGAATAGCATTTATTGTTTTACTATCATCTACACATGTTCAAGTTATAAACGTGAAATTATAACAAATATGTTACAATGCGAAGCCTATATCCATCTCATTTTCAGTTTTGCCGAG